GACGTCACACTTTGTTTACATGTGTGCTTTCCAATGGTGCTTTGTGGACCGTGGGCCCCCACTGGCTCCATAGGAAAGTGTACATGTAAACAAAGTGTGACGTCATCAGTACAGAGGCTTATTTACATGTACATGTTGCGTTCTCACTACTCTAGCAATTCCCAGTGTCTGGTTTCCAACAAAATCAAAAAACATGTCCATACATAATGTTAAGATAAATCAGTACGTGTACAAGCTTTTCAGAAGTTTGGGAGTAACCAAAAATCAAACGCCCAAGCTTACTTGAAAAAAAAAATTATACAAATCAAGCTTAATCGAATGCAAATAAAAAGCGACACAACAAGAGTAATGTACATTACATCCAATGGTGGGGTTTATACGAACAACAATGACATACAAAAGTTTACCAGGACTGATGTTTAATTATATTTCTACAAAAGAACAAGACTGAAATTTTTTTCAGGGTGTTGTACGACTACTAGGGTGTAACATGATTTTAGCTTGTAAATGGCCGATGTTCCGATGGGCATTTCTTTCACTTATATTTTTTTTATACAATGTACAGCATATCAGTAAATTGATTCCATACACAATAACTTTAAAATGTTTCAGCAATGATGAGATAGAATACATGGTTGCCGCTGTGTTTTATACACCATTCCTGCAAATGGATGTGTGCTTCTGAATAAAGGTTTCATTTGACTGAAACCCTTTCTTCATGGGCCGATTTCACGGAGCCACTTGGCGCAGAAATTTGCCGAAGAGCAGAACTTTTCTGAGCAGAGAATCTCTTCGACCAACAAGAGCAGATCACCGGCCATAATGCTGCTACTTAACCCTCTAGCTGTCACAGTAAAAAAAAACAAATCGGTCCTCTTCTGCCATGCCTTTGTACACAGGCTGGTAACCAACAAGCAGCCGGATCACGTTTCTGGTAAGCACTAGTGGACTTGTCACATTTCATCAACAGATAAAAGCAAGTAACTGGTAATATGCTGGGCGAGTAAAAAAAAAACCAAACCCAAATGTCGGGACTACTGTATTATTAATGTTCTGCATGTACACTTTCAAAATCTAGGATATGAAAGCCCAATTCACCAGCTTTCTTTCAGTGCAAAAATCATTCAAATCACTCATGTACATGTACTTTTCAAGTTACGGAATTTTAAACACAACCACCATTTTAAGGTTCTGTCCATGGATCGCAAAAAATTTCAGTGTTCTTTCAGCAAAACGAAAACAAACCACATAAGGATGTGTGTGAATCGTTTTCGTTTTGCTGAAAGAACACACACCTTTTCTGTGATCCGTGGACAGAACTTTAAAACGGTGGTTGTGTTTAAAACTCCGTAACTTGAAAAGTACATTAGTGATTTGAATGATTTTTATACTAAAAGAAATCTATGAATTGGGCTTTCATATCCTAGATTTTGAAAGTGCTACTTGCAGAACTCCCCTAAAACAATGGTCCCAACATTTGGGTTTCGGGTTTTTTTACTCACCCTGTACAGCTGGCTTATCAATCAGCTGCTACATATATTAATGATGCAAAGCTGTATCAAGTTATATTATCAGTCACAGCCAGTTTATCTTGCTGTATGCAGGCAGAAGAAGGCTCTTAACTGTTCAAAACAGTCACATGATTGATTTTGTCACTGCTGGGATGGCTTTGTTGAATTTGCCAGCCAGATAAGTTGCAATGGTTCACTGTCGATTTTGGCTGCGCAAATCAATTTGCCAACTTGAGCAGCATTTTCTTCTAGGCAGCTAGGTGGCTCGGTGGAATTGGACCGAGCTCTTTACCACGTTTACTATACTTAACATCACGCAGCTCATATATTTTAGTGTTTATCACTTCTACACTGATGGAATTATTAACACCACAAAACATTGAGGTCTTCTGAAACACAGACAAAATTACCACACATTTAAAAAACAGTAAAATGGATGAACGTCCTGTCTGGACGTTTATACCTCACACTGGCTCACTCTATTTCAACATTCCAAATGGCTCACGTTGATGCAGTCTCGCATACCAGCAGATTAGTTGCGGTAGGGGCTGTGGTTGGATCAAAAGAAAAAAAGAAAGCTTTCGATAAATAATTATTCACAGTTCACTTGAAATTGGAAATACATGTACCAAAATAACAAAACATGTAACCAGCTCGATGTTAACTTACCGCCTACAGAATATCTTATCCGAATACTAATCAGGCGCGCACCGATACATATGTGATATTGAATAAGCCAGTTCTGCATCTCGATGTAGTTGTCAAGGTCAATCGGATAAAAGCATTGACGCGATGTTACGCAAACACCCATTCTACTCATAACTAAGGCGCAAGCGTCATGCGACCGTCTCCCTGCGCGTTCATACGTTTTCGATAAGCGTTAGTTTATCCCGAATGACCTGTCACCTATATTGGGCACATGCCCAGTTGATGTTACGAACTGGCTTATTGGGTATTGGGTCCACTTATATTGAGCTGCTAAGCACAGAACACTGCTTTACAAACTTATAAGGCCCGACAAAACAAATTGCCTGACAATACTATACATGTACATATGTCAGGCATGCAACTGGCAATTTAGAAAAACGAGGAAACTCCTAACCACACAAGACTTTGCACAGTGTTTTTCGATTTTTAATGGCATTCATGAGAAGTAAAAAATGAGAAAATCAGCGAATCCGAGGAAAAGTTGCATGCCTGATATGTATGTGACTATCACAAGATATCTATGCTGGTTATTGTTTTTGTTGACGAATACTTTTTGGTGTCACGTCAGGTGTCTGCTCTTTGCTGCCTTTTGCATGTGGGTTAGCATGCTCCGGGGCACTGATAGAACTTGTGCTCTTGGGCAGGACAATTTACCACGACAATGCAAGACCCAATTCAATCAGCCCAATTGCCAATCTGCTGGGTACCATGGTCAACAAATCAGCCAACAGTACACTTTATGGCAAGAATGGAAAATTAAGCTGTCACTCCAGGTTGAACCTCTGAGGTACCTCATTAAACCACAAGGTACCTCATTAACCCTTACCCTACTAGACCCTCCAACGCATGCCAATATGTGCCTCAAGAAAATCTCCTATGTTTTTTGCATGGCCCTCCAATATCTGCCATGTCATTTCAAGGGTAACTGGACAGGCACTCCAATACATGCCACAGAGAACAATGAGAGTCCTCTGATAACAATCAAGTGCCCCCAGCTGGTCAGTATCAGGCACCCTCCAGGGCCTCCAACTCCTGCCAATTGGAGCCTTCACTGCTACATTTAAGTATCCTCCAATAAACTGCAGCTGGAGGGCATTGGCATAACCAACTGACATGCAGTAAACTACCCTCAGAGAGTAAGGGTTAAACCACAAGGTACCTCATTAAACCACAAGGTACAATGTCCCTCAATTAACCCAGTAGGACCTCATAAACCTCGAAGTACCTCCAGTTCATGCCTGTTTAATGTTACATATATGTACACTACTCCCCTTAATGACATCACAAAACACACACATTTGATTAAACAAACCTGTGGTGTACGTGGTGCCACAGGGGCAAAGTCAGTTCATTTTCCTTGATAATGCAAATTCTACTTTCAAACTTGATACTTGATATGTTCTTTGCAACACTGTGCAACAGCCGAACCTTTGGGTTTCTTACCTGCGGCTACGGCTGCGGCTACGACTGCGCGAATGGCGTTTGTGGGAGTTATAGCGATCATTTGACCTGGACCTACGTGGAAATAAAAATGTTTAACATAAAATTATTTCACAGTACTTGTACTCATTTCCAAACAAAAACACTACATTTCTGATTCCAACTGGCATTCTGTTAAAAAGAAACAAGGAAAGTTTCTGTTATAAGACACACTCTAGTGCAAAATTTTTGCTGCCTTTACACAACTAACTGGGCCAACTGAGTATAATTGATTATAGAGAACAAGTGCTTAAAACAAAATTATTAACAAAAGTACCAATGTAAACTGATGTCCTTTGGGAATGTTAGGCCAAAAAAAAAAATATTCGGTCTCTGGTCAGACCAAAGTTCCGGAATTGACGCGGCCACGCGGCTTTTTTTTTGTTTGTTTGTTTTTTGTTTGTTTTTCTTCAAGCTCGGATTGTACAGACAAGGTGGGTACTATTTTGCTTTTTTGGTGTCCTCATGTACATTGGTGTCCTCCATAATTTGCCTTGGTGCTTTCGATCATTTGCCTTGGTGCAATTTCCCATTCCTTGGTGCTCTTTGGTAAAAAAAAATTGAGGTGCGGAAATAGAGGGCGCTGTTGGAGCTACCGCGGAACATTTTTGGAGAAAAAAAAAGATCGCCGCGCATGATTAAAATCGACACGCGCGCTGACCAGAGACCGACTTATTTTTTTTTTGGCCTTACCTTCCTAAACCTAAACCTACAGGTACCCAGATCCCTCAAAATTCACCTGTGGTTTCAGAATTAAGAGTACACTACTGCTTTTTATGGGACTCGATGCTTCTCAAATGTTTACAAGAAATGTGCCTAGCACACGGCTCCTGCACAGTTGTAGCCTTGATATTGAATGCAAGGCTGTGTATGTGCTGTATCAGCATGCCATAGCTGACCAACGGCCGAGGAGCTGGCCATAGTTTTTCAGGCTCTACGTCCACACACAGCACACACACGGCGAGACCCTAATCCGATCGTTTGGACGATGCCCACAATGTATACTGTACGTATACACTGTACTGTACATGCCTGCCCCCATGTGACAGTCACAGCACACCGTGACGTACACTTGAGTGTACATGTAAATGTACATGTGCAAGTCACATCGGATCACAGCCTTGATGTAACTGTAGCTTCCGAGTTTTAAGGTTTTTGTTTCAAGTTTGTTAAGTTTTAAGTTCCTCAACGGCCAATCCCGTCACAGATCAATGATTATTGATTTGGTGATCCAACGCTAGTGTGAGCGGGATGCTGTTCAAGCCATGTTTTTAAACAAAGTGGCTTCTCCAATCAAGGGCCAATCAGATCCCGTTTGATCGTAAGCGGCTCATTATAACTGCAAAACCCGGAAATTACAGTTGCATCAAGGCTGTGCTTCTTCGGAGCTGGACTCTCACATAGTGGCAGTGCATGTGGGTAGACAGTACAGTGCATACAGTACCGTCTACATGCACGATAGCATTGTGTGCTTTTTGTGAATGATCAGATCGGGGTTTCACCATGTGGAGCTGAATGCACACTTGCTGATAAACTACCTACATAGCCTTGCATTCAAGGCTAGCATAGTTGTGGATTTTGGAGGGTTTGGTCACGTTCCTAGAAAAAAAAATTACCTAGTGAGAGAGTAGTTTATTGTGACCTACATGTCACGGATATCACATTATCCCTGCATGTTCATGTACATCAGACCAAGAAGAGTGCAATTTTCGACGTGATATTCGCTGGAAGCAACAATCACAAGAGGAGTCGACTTTTTTTTTGGGTGGGGGGAAGCAACGTGCATGTTCATGGAGTAGGGAGAAATGGGTTGTGCAGACATGTACTTCGTAGAATTGTACATGCAACATGTCCTGGCTGAAAAAAAACTGGATTGTCGGAAGTGTAGTTGAAGTCTAGAGATATCTTAGATTGATGAACATGTAGAATGTAGATAGGTTTCAAATGCCTGCTGGCCCACAAAATATCTACATGTACATGTAGATGGTCTGACTGGGACTTGTAGGAAGCTAAAATGGTGGCTGTAAATTGTGGTTTCACAGCAGCCATCGCTTTTTGCAGGTGAAATGGAGCTACCGTCGGAAGTGGGGGTGGATGGAGACACGTTCAAACGTCTGTAGCCTTACAGATATCTAGAGGTTTGGACTACGAATCATACAAGGGACGCTGAAATGGAGGTTAACGTTTTGCAGAATAAACAAATGCTTGCAGGTTAAATTGAAGGTATTGTGCGGAAGTGTAGTTGAGTTTGCCGATGGCTTGGCGTGCCTACTGGCTTACAAACATCTAGGAGTTTAGACTGGGACACATGCGGAGGAGGGGAGAATTCCTAATTCGCAGAAGCGGCAGGTGTTTGCAGGTAGGCAATGAAGGTATTGTTGGAAGTGTAGTTGCCGTTTTTCTGAGCTTGACGAGGGTTGGTTTGAAATGCATGAAGTCTATTAGCCGGCACCTATCTAGACGTTTGGAGTAGAAGGGCGTAATGTAGGTTGTAACTTGTGCTTTCAAGTGTTGTGTAGAGGTAGTAATACTAGCAGGATAATGAAGATGTTGTTGGAGTTGTAGTTGAAGTGTTTTGAAGGGCTGTTGCATTGCTTTGACCATGTAGGAGTTTGGGTCCCATGTAGCAGGGCACCTAGGTCGTAACTTAAGATTTCACGCATTTTGCAGCAGTAGCAAACGCACTGCAGGTATTCTGAAGCCTTTGTCGGAAGTGTAGTTGTAGTATCATGCATCTTAGCTTGATGTGGAAGGGTATGGAGCGCATGAAGCCAGTTGGCAGACCAAAATGTAGAGGTTTTGGCTAGGAGGGCATTACGCTGGCTGAAACTCAAGGTTTGGAGTATTTTGCAGTGGTAGCAAACGCTCGCAGGTAAAACGAAGTGCAGCAGCTGAAGCATTGGACGCCGGTCGAGAAGGGCGTTTCGCTCGCAGATACCGGATAGCCTTTGCTGGCTAACGAAACGACTAGCGGTTCGGACTAGGTCGGAAGGACTTGTGCTTCATGGCTTTCGGATACGATTCGGGACTTGTGGACACACGTAATTCGGCCGCAATGAGTTAGCTCGCAGAGACCAAAACGCCCGAGTAACATGAGTAGGGCCTAGGAGTCTAGAGATCCTGCAATCAACAAGTATAAACAAAAGCTGTTTAATTCCGGATGTTTTCTTCAAAAAAAACACACACATTTCGACAATGCAATCTTAAATTTAGCTGTGCATTTCCTGGGGAATTACTCATTGTGTGCACGGAATTAGAAGAAGTAAGAATGATGCATTGATTTTTTTACCACAAATTTGACCATTTGAGAGACCCCCAACATATGGCTAAGACGCCCAGTTGGCAGAGAACCAGTACCCTGTTCCAAAGGTCACAGCTTCAAACCCTACCCCGGTCAACTTTTTAACCCTTGCTCTTCTACAATTAACTTCAATATTTGCCAAAATCAAATTGCCTACCATCACTGCCGTCCAATATCTGCCGGTGAACCAGGTCCAATGATCAAAGTCTTGGTCCCAGACTGGTTTTGTTTTTATTCCACTAAAGCCCGGTTCATACTTCACGCGAAATCATGTGCAAAGCGAAATTCATGTCGTCAACAATGGTGGACGCGCTTCGAATGTATTGTTGACGTCACGAATTTCGCTTCGCTTTCGCTTTCGCGTGAAGTATGAACCGGGCTTAATGCAGATGGTTTCTGACACGCACGGTAAAGCAGCCATGGCAGTAGAGGTAACAGACCTTAGACATAATGACATCTCGCAGTGTTCTCCAACTTTGAAAGTCAAAGGTCGGTGCGCCGTCAAAAAGCGGAGGGGGGCGCTATAATTATGTTAGGGGCACTATTTGCAGTCATACATTTCTTTATGCTAGGGGGCGCTATTTGCAGATGAACATGCAATTTATGTACGGATAACAGCTCTTAGGCCATTTCTAACACAGTAACTGTTAAGTACAGCATCATCTTTTTAATACATCAGTGACCAGGGACGCCCATGCAGTTTGGCCTTGAGACTTTTGACCTAATTGATTGCTACAATGGGCAGGCTTGTCAGTTTGACAAGTGTTGCATGTTACTGCTTTTGGCAGAGTTTCTGGCCAAATATACCCTGGAGGGTGAGGGTAATCCCACTTGTTTGTCTTTTTTTATTATTTTTTCCTTTTTTTAAGCATGGTGGACAACTTATTTAGCTTGGCGGCAACTTTTGAAGCTTGGCAGGTGCCTCAGACAGCTTGGCGGGGCACCAGGTTATATTTACAGGTTGGAGAACACTGATCTCACTTTGTCCCCGGGTTGGGACGCCAGCCAACCCTCCCCACCTGGCTCCCATAGGAAAGCGCATGTGTATTAAAACAAAGCCTGGCGTCATTATGTCTTGGGTCTACTAATAACAAGATGAATCACATCCAGTTTTGGCAATATTGCCGCCTGGCTCCCATAGGACAGCGCATGTGTAAAGAAAGCATGGCGTCATTATGTTTTGGGTCTCAACAACAGCAATTTTGACAATATTGGCAGCGCTACCCACGTAAATTGTGAGCATACCTCACACGCTCTGTATGCAAGCTGACGAGTGCATGAGGTATGCTCGAACCTTCCAATATAGCTCTGCCAAAGTTCCCAAGGATGGATTTGATTCATCTTTTGAATAGTGCCCTCTACCACCACAGTGGCTTGACGAAGCTTGCCAGGAATCAGAACTGGCTGCATTGAGGTGAATCGAATCTGAATCCAGACTTGGACCAATATGATACGTTCAGAATTCCTTGGCAACAGAGCAATGTTACCTAGTCTGTATCGAGATTCCGCTGATCAGCAGATAAACCTTCTTTAACCCTAACCCTCCCGGGTATGTTTGCTAGAACCCTGCCAAACAGAGCAACATGCAACACTTGACCAAGTGGCAAGCCTGCCAAATGTAGCATGATCCCATCAGGGGTCAAGTCTCAAAGCCACACTGCCTCAGGTCACTGCAAGCAGCAGGATACAACTAAGGCTTTGTTCCATGGGACCTAGCTCTCATTGTTTCAGACCTGGCCATTCATGCACCGGTGTTGGCAGCTGAACGCATCAAAGTGCACCAAGTCTTTTCCATCTGATGCACTGTGTTGCATCTGGCAGCGTTTTATTAGGGAAAATGCACTCCAGTTGGAGGTCTGCAGGTGAGCAAGGGCTCTGTGCACAAGAACTCCCTCAATGGTTGCAAAGGGAGAGTTGGGCGAGACCAATGCAAGGGGCCTTCAAACACATTACTGATGACACCTGCCACAATGGCATGCACGCCAAGCCGCCATAGCTTTGTGCAGATTCAGAAAATTGTTGCACTTTGTGCTCTGCACGCGCAGTATGGCCTGTCTAAAAGCGGTTGAAAATCACCATCTGCATCTTGTGCACACAGTCCATAGACCTCCACTAGAGTGCATTTTCATGTCCAATTGTCATGTGCTAAGTTACAACCACAAGAGCAAGGGTTAATAGTGACCCTATAACGTAATGAGTCTCCGGGTATGGCTCATTTAATATCTTCATTTGAAACAGCACACGCAAAGATATTACCTGGACCGGGAACGTCTCCTATGCGAGTTGTAGGGGCATTCTCGGGCAAAGTGGCCCGGTTTGCCGCACTCGTAACATTTGTCATCATTGAAGGAGCGACGCTGTTGGTAGCGGCCACCACCGTAACCACCACCACCACCACCGTAGCCACCACCACCACCGCTGTAACCACCGCCACCGCGACGGTCACCACCACTTCGGCGCCGTTTCTCACCGGTGGCCATTTCCACCTCCACGCGGCGACCACAGATTATACTGTACAGGAAAACAATTCAAGAAAGAGAGTTGATACTGAGGTGCTTGTCATCAGAAGTCAACTCAAATCTATTCAAAGACACTGTGAAAAAAAGGGTAATTCAGGAGATGGTATTGCCTTTGCAGCAGTACGTGCAGAAACACGACCAGATATACATTGTGATTATAAATGCTACTTCTTGCACGCATGCAAATTATGCAAATGCACACACAATTCTGTTCAGAATATCCCAGGCAGAAATACGAGATTCCGAAGATGACCTCTGCGGGCTGTAAAGGGCGCCCACTTCGGTGAATCGCTGCGCTGTCCAAAAAATGCGCCCTGAAACACCACACCATTAACCCTAACCCTCCAGGGTATTTTGGCTAGAAACCCTGCCAAACGCAGCAATGTAAAACACCTGTCTAAGTGACAGGCCTGCCAAGTGCAGCAAGATCCAATCAGGCCAAAAGTCTCAATGCCACACAGCCTTCGAGTCTGTGGTCACCCAACGCAGCAGGATACAACTGTGGCAATGTTCAATGGGATAAGCTCTCATTGTTTCAGAACTGGTTGTTGATGCACTGGTGTTTAAGCATACTGGTGTTGATAGCTGAATGCATCAAAGTCCACCAGACTTTTCCATCTGATGAACTGTGCTGCATCTGGCAGGGTTAGGATTAACCCTAACCCACCTCACTCCTCCAAAATCCTCCTGGCGGTTTTGGAGGATTCTAGAGGATTGAGGATGAATGGTGATTGAATCAAATGAGGATTCTGGAGGATTGAGGATGAATGGTGATTGAAGCACAAGAGGATTTTGGAGGATTGAGGATGAATGCATTTTGAGGCAGGACTGTCTGATGATTTTGAAAAATTTAGGCGGATTTGCAAAATTTTGGAAAATTTGGGAGGATTGAGGATGGTTGTAAGCAACAAGGGCCTAGGGGGTTAGGGTTAAGGACGTCTGGAACCAAGACTAAATGAAGCCAGGCGCAGGTCTACTGGATTTATACTAAGTGAGATTTGAGGCTTTGCATGGTGGAGATACTAAATAATGAAAGGTTTGCGGAATCACCATGTGGGAATAATTTCTCAACTAAGAGAATGGTTCTGAAAAGAACCAGAGGTATAAACTCGACGTTTCGGTCAGTATGCTCTGACCGTTTCTCCTGAAGACGGTCAGAGCATACTGACCGGAACGTCGAGTTTATACCTCTGGTTCTTTTCAGAACCATTCTCTTAGTTGAGAAATTATTCGCACATGGTGTTTCCGCAAACCTTTCATTATTTGGATTTATACTCACGTGTCGTTCAGCTCCCTAACCGAATCAGACGCATCTCGTTGGTCCTCAAACTCCACAAAAGCGAAGCCTGGGGGCTGTTTGGCCACCCATACGTGCTTCAGAGGGCCGAAGACACCGAAGGCCGTTTCCAGCTCTTTCACCGATCCATAGTCGCTGAGGTTGCCCACGTACACCTTGCAGTTGGTGGCAGAATAGCGTGACATCTTGACAAGTAGCTCTCTGTGGGGTTAACAAAATTTACAAATGAAAAAAAGCACTTCAAATGTCTAAAAAAACCTAACAGGGTTGATTTTTTTTAACATAACAGAGAAATAAAATGAGAAATTTAAAACAGTAACATCATTTTGGCCTCTGTGTCTGTTGCATCTAGCCCATACACTATAGGGCCTTATTTATAAAGCTGTACGTCATCTCCCGAGTCCAATGGTGGCCCCTTAAAAAAAGATTAAAATCTGGTGGTCAGCTTGAAAAATAGCTCGGACGGGCGGCCATTTTAGAGGGAAAAAAAGGGCCTCCCACTTCCTTTTTTAAAAGGCAGGACACTAATAAAAACACCAAGTAGAAGTACACAATGAATTAGTCCGAGGAACTCTACGACTACGAGTACGAATCACCATTTTTTAACATGTCCAAAATGTAAAAAAAAAAAAGGCGATTCGTAGTTACTCGGACCTAGTCCCACTTACTGGGGCGCTAGTAGTAGAACTCCTTTTTTGACATTTGGGATGTTGGTCTGTCGTACTAGCTAGTACGACAGACCAACATCCATATAGGCCTATATCCAGTGTTCTCCAACATGTAGAACAAACCTGGCGCCCCGCCGTGCTTTCTGCGGCGCCCGCCATGTTTAAGAAGTCCCCGCCAAGCTTTAAAATCCTGCCGCCAGGTTTAATTTTTTTGAATCTACGTCTACAGTGTACATTTACAACTTATATTAATTGATTTCAGTTGTTTTTCCACACATTAACAATGTATTTCGATGTCATCCCAGCCCGATCGGGGTTGTCTTAAAATCTCGCTGAATCAATCACACGCACGGCCGGCCGTGCAAACACCAGCGATTCCCCATGCACTGTACGTACTAGTACGCGCGATGTACACACACTGACAACTGAATCCCCAGTTCCGGAGTGTGCCGATACTTCAAGTAGCCACAACCCCGCCGCAAAAATATATATCTGTATTAGTACACACACACACCAGCAGGTGTACGTACGGCAGATCTTACGTGCAGCCAACCGACTTTCTTTTTCTCAGTGCTTGCACGCGCGGTACACAATATAATACGCATTGATGTTTTTGTACGAGGCAAACGAGCTCGAGGCCAAAACACGCGTGCACATGGTGTTCCGATCATGCCGATTGTCAAAAGTTATAAATGGCGATCGTGTATGATGGACCCGGTTCCCTAAGAGAACAAAATCCACTTTTAATTTATTTGATTTACCAAACTAGTTGGCGACATTTAAGAACATACAGGTAGGTCATAAATAGAGGGAAATTTGGGGGGAAAATGACGATGACAACGACAAAACGCAACATGAAAATAAAGATGACGATCGCACGGCACCGGCACCACCCATAAAATCGCGTTAAAAAAAACGTAATTTGTATCCCATTTTGTTTTTCAAAATTACAAAAAGGTGTCATTTGATCTGAGAGAAGTCTGCTTTAGGTTGAAAAGGAAATTTTTGAATGCTAAAAAAATCGGGGGAACTGGCCTGGAGAATCGCCTCAGATTGCACCACAGAGCATCTAGAATCCAAAATTTTTCCGGGGCCCTTAAGCGGCCGTAAGGGCTTCGCGCTTCGTGCTCGCAGGAGTCCCCGCCGACCCCAGCGCCAACCTTTAATTTTCAAAGTTGGAGAACACTGTATATCCCAAATGAAATGTCAAAAAAGGAGTTCTAGCTAGCGCCCAACAGGTAGTGCGACTATCTCGGACCATGCACGTCCTAGTATAACACAATATAATTCTATTTCTTGATAATTGCAGTATCAATCATCAAATCTGAATACAAGATGCAAGTTCCCATCCCAGAGTTTAATGGATACGTGGTTGAAAATAAAATAAACCATGGCATGGGGACGAGGTTGGCATGATGAGGCAAAAAAAAAGCCTTGGCGTGGCGTGCGCGTGCACGACGTTCTTCTCCCGAGTCCCATGTTCGCATCGCAACTACATCATGTCAAAAATGCACGCGTTATCCCCGGCAAATACAGCACCAGAAGCCTTGACAAATAAAACAACTTCATAGCAATACTGTGCATAAAAAGGTGACTCGCTTTACCACAAATCAATGTAAAAAACTGAGATAATTCTGCAACGACAATTCCACAATAACGCACCTTACTCCTTACCTCCCTGGGCTTTCCGCAATCTGGTATCCCGCTTAGGCCTTTTCTTACCTGCAATAAATTTCGCAGTTTTACCTTTTGGTTCCTGGGAACCAGTGAAGCTAAAGGCACGCGGCGCGCGCGGTTTAGGAATCATCGTTGAGGGCGCTCTAAGGAGTAGGCGGGGCTTATTTGTTTATTGGGTTTTTTTGGGGGGGGTTGCTGTGGATTCCAATGATATTTTCCATTTTTTTGTATGACGCTATATATGTTTATACAAAAAGAGGTTGATTTGAAAAGAAAACAAAATAGTTAAACTTAAGTGTATCATTTTTTCCCCGGCGCGGCCGGGGGGGGGGGGGGGGGGGAGTTCGCGATCTTTCGCGCGATTTGGACGAATGAGGGCGCTACTACTAGCAAGGAAACAGCAAACTCAGCGTCCAGGGGTCGCGTTTTACGACGATATCGTCTGAAGTTTTTCGAAGAAATTAAATCTGTAGGTAGGCTTCAAAAAGGTAGTCATTACTGATAACGGTGAGCGTAACTATTAACCATTAAATATGATAAGGGTCTTTGTGTTTTTAATTTCAGGGCTATATCAAAAGAAAGCAAGGCCAAGCATAGCCCCACTAGCATGACTAGTGTGGCCGTCGGTATGCTGCGCTGAACCCAAGGCCACACACCGTGGTCTGCGCACTACTGAGGACGTTTTCATAATTTCAACAGCGAATTTCTTACATATGGTTGTATTCTACGATGTCCCAACTTTCACTTCTGGGATGCTTGGGTGTAATGATGTTCAATTTTCCAAGATATTCTTGAATCTTTCTGGAGCCCATATGCACTCGTGAACAGGTGAAACGTCTGGCATGTGTCTGGTGATGGCAGCCATTTTGAATGTGACAAGAGATGACCTCAAGCTGTGACGTCGCGTTTATGCAAATTGCTTGTCGAGCGAGGGCGCGAGTTGCAAATGCGACGGCTGTTTCCTGTGCCGTAGATCCTGAATAGAGATCAGTGCACGTGGCCCCCAGACGATAAATGCATGGTACAGGGAACAGCCGTCGCATTTGCAACTCGCGCCCTCGCTCGACAAGCAATTTGCATAAACGCGACGTCACAGCTTGAGGTCATCTCTTGTCACATTCAAAATGGCTGCCATCACCAGACGTTTCACGAGTGCATATGGGCTCCAGAAAGATTCAAGAATATCTTGGAAAATTGAACATCATTACACCCAAGCATCCCAGAAGTGAAAGTTGGGACATCGTAGAATACAACCATATGTAAGAAATTCGCTGTTGAAATTATGAAAACGTCCTCAGTAGTGCGCAGACCACGGTGTGTGGCCTTGGGTTCAGCGCAGCATACCGACGGCCACACTAGTGGGGCTAGGCCAAGCAAGGAAAGGATAAGAAAAATTAAAATAATTAATAAACGAAGTGGCTATCGTTACGGCAGCCGTTGTTTAGCGCCCTCTAAGATAGAGGGATCTGTGTCGGAGCTAGACGACTTTTATTTCGCGGGAGATTTTTAGCTTTTTAATCCTTGATTTTTCGCGTTTCCTTTGGCCATCCAGGTCTTTTAACCCATTTTTATCGCTTTTGATGTTTTTAAGGATCTGCTTATTGGTTTATTGTTCGTCGTTCGTGTGAATTTTCGTCAAATCTCGTCATTTTAATTTTAGTCAACTGTGTAAACAGTGAATCTTGAAGTCGGCCATTTTAAAAAACACTGTGCAATTTATAGACCGACATCGAAGTTTGTACTTGGACTTCCTACTACCGCTTCTGCAGCTTTTGACTTGGATTAAACCACCATGGAGTTCACCATTACTTATTTTGTGATTGGATTCCTGCTTACTCTCGCACGTATTAGTGATGGGATCTGCAAAACTGTAAGTACAACCGTAGACACAAGGCTGACAGAATGTGATCCCGATATTGGCACAACAAGCACCAGTTATTTTGCAACTGCGTTACTGCCTCGTAGACAATTTATCAAAACTCTGAAAAACTCTCATGGCCTATCCTGGACCCATGTTTTGTTGATCGGACTTGGAAATGATGTCAACCTAAACCCAGGCCCTCCATCCAACTCTTCGCTTGATGACCCCCCTGCACCGTGTGGTGTCTGTGGAGAGGAAGTAGGCTATTATCCAGAGAAGGGTATCCAATGTGAAGAGTGTGAAAAATGGAATCATGCCGCTTGCATCAACATGAGTAGTAAAACTTACAACTTGTTGGCTAATTGTAGTACCTCATGGATTTGTGATGGGTGTGGTCATCCAAATTTTTCTGGTTCGCTATTTAGTATCGTGACTGATTTTGAAACTGAAAATCCCTTTACTCCACTTGACTCAGACCAGTCTTTGAGTGATGTACAACCCCTTGCTGCATCATCCCCCAAACCGCCTTGTAAAACCAGGAAGAGAAATCCTCCCATACGTGACACAGCAAAAACAAAGTCTAAGAAACCCACCAGAGCGAAGAAGCTTACTGTCATCAACATCAACTTTCAAAGTCTGAAAAATAAGGCTTCGGAACTTTTGGGTATCCTACATGAACATACGCCGGACATTCTTATTGGCACAGAAACTTGGTTAAATGAAAAGATCCTTGATGCTGAGCTTTTCCCACCAGAGTACGCTGTCTTTAGAAAAGATCGTAATGATGGCTACGGGGGTGTCTTGATAGCTGTCAAAAACCTCTCCTGTCATCTAGTGGATGAATTAAATTCTGACGCTGAATGTATCTGGGTTCGCGTTGAATGTGGACCTAAGAAGAAGGTGTACGTGGGGGCTTTCTACAACCCAGACTCCTCTCATGAACCGATTGATAGACTTGATATATCTCTCTCAAAGCTCCATCAATTAACCAAAGGAAAAGGTGAAATTTGGTTGGGAGGAGATTTCAACTTGAAAGACATCAATTGGGACGATAGGTTGGTTAAGGTTGGCGCCCAGTTTTCTGCTCAGTGCAGGAAGTTAGTTGACATCTGTAACTCCTTCAACTTAGACCAATTTGTCCTTGAGCCCACCCGGATGGAAAGTATTCTTGACTTGTTTATGACAAACAACCCCACCATCGTTGAATCCACCAGGGTGCTTCTTGGTTGTGGAGATCACAGCATGGTGAAAATTCTGATTAACGCTGGAGGTGTAACTACCAAACCAGTTCGTCGCAAATTCTTCCTGTACAAAAAAGGGAAGTTTGAAGACCTCCGTAATGATTTGAAGAACTTTGGTGAAAATTTTCTCCATGAATTGAATCTAAGGACAGTTAATGAAAATTGGATTCTTCTGAGGGACACCCTCAACGCACTTACTGAAAAGTTCATCCCATCCAAGTACTCCTCAACGAGATTTAACTTGCCATGGTTTTCTCCTGCGCTCCGTCGTCAAAGCAGAAAGCTTCAACGTATGTATAATAAACAGAAGAAAACTAACTCTGCTGAGGACTCCAAACTGTTCAGAAGCGCCCGGAAAATGTATAAAAGAAACCTCAACAGAGCTCACCAGCAATATATCTCCAGTATGCTTGAGGAAGATCTCCAACATAACCCAAAAAAGTTCTGGAAATATGTCAAATCAAAGCGAACTGACAATGTAGGCGTCCATCCACTGAAGAATGGCACTGACACCGTTTCAGACCAAGTTGGGAAGGCAAACATTCTCAACTCCTTCTTCAAATCAGTTTTCACCAAGGAAAACACATCCAACCTCCCTAACCTACAGCAGTCTGTTCCAGACATTGAATCACTTGAGATCGTGGCTGAGGGTATCGAGAAACTTCTTCGTGATCTGAACCCCTCCAAGGCCTCGGGACCAGATAACATTCCTAATAAAATCCTTAAGGAATGCAGCGTGGAGTTGGCACCACTACTAGCAGGGCTGTTTAACCAATCCTTAAAATCTGGTGACCTCCCAGATGACTGGACTACAGCCAACGTGTCTCCTGTCTTCAAAAAAGGCAGTAAAAGTGACCCCAGTAACTACCGCCCCATATCACTAACATCAGTGGTATGTAAATGTCTTGAGCACGTCATCCATCGTCATATAATGTTCCACATTGAGCAGCACCAGATCCTGACAGACTGCCAACATGGGTTTAGAAAAAGCAGAGGGTGTGACACTCAACTCCTCATTACCATTGATGACATAGCTAAATCAATCGAGAAAGGCAAACAGGTTGACGCAATATTACTTGATTTCTCGAAAGCGTTCGATCGCGTCCCACATCAGAGGCTTCTCACCAAACTGAGGCACTATGGCATCACCGGTAATGTGCACAAGTGGATCTCAACTTTCCTTACAACACGTACCCAACAAGTCGTCCTGGAGGGTAAAAGTTCTACAACAGCTGAAGTTTTATCTGGAGTCCCCCAGGGCACTGTCTTGGGACCCCTGATGTTTCTCCTCTACGTTAATGACATCCCTTCATATGTTTCTTCGAAAATCAGACTGTTCGCTGATGACGCCATACTTTACAGAGAAGTAGAAGAAACATCTGACGCTACATCCCTGCAAAACGATTTGGATGCTCTGTGCAGATGGGAGAGGGAATGGGAAATGAAATTCAATCCAGACAAATGCTTTGTCATGCATATCACCACCAAAAAGGATCCACTCATCAGTACGTACAAAATCAACCAGAGACCTCTCCAAACTACTACCAATCACCCATATCTTGGCCTCATCCTGAGTTCTGACTGTAGCTGGTCGTCTCACATCAACAAAATTACCAACAACGCTAGGCAGACCATTGGCATCATCAGAAGAAACTTCAAATCCTGTAGCAGAAAGGTTAAATCCCAACTTTACCAGTCTCTCGCCCGCCCCAAACTAGAGTATGGTGCCTGCGGCTGGGCCACCTTCACTGAGGAAGAAAACAAACAACTTGAAGGTATCCAGAGATACGCTGCCAGGATGTGTTGTAACAACTTCACCAGGCTTGCCAGTGTCACAGATATGTTGAACCAGCTTGGTTGGCCTCTACTTGAAACACGTCGCTCCATTGCTAGACTAACCATGATGTACAAGATCTCTCACAACCTCGTTGAAGTCAAACACGACCTTAGGCCCAAAACAAAAACCCTTAGGAGCTCGCACCAGTTTTCATACCACCGACCCAACGCTAAATCCAAGTTCTATAGCACCAGTTTCTACCCATCAACGATCCCCATCTGGAACGACCTGCCAAACACTATCATCACCATACCCGACTTAAACCAGTTTAAACAAGCCTTAGTAGACCACGTCATCGGGGAGGGAACCAAAACCCAAGTTAACTAGCTCCAGCACAGCCGCCCCAACTCTAGCGGGATGCGGATTCTACCGTTTAGCTGGAGCAACGGATACAGATACAGATACTTTTTTGATACGCACGCATGTATATAATTATTTGTTTCCCCACGTTTTAGCGAGCAGTGCGACAGCTCAGTCAATAGAGGGTAGGATTTTGCACCGCGAGGTTGCGGGTTCGCATCTCAGTTTTGCACTTGAATTTTTTTCCTTTTCTAACCTAAGGCTTTGGAGTATTTTTTTTAAAAGGGAAATAAAGTCCGAATTTCATAACGTTCAAATTCACTTTTTTCCTTCTATTTTCTAATTTTATATTTTCTTCTCATGTTTTTATAAAAGTTGCAGTAGGCCCCTACTACCGTAACGATAGAAAATGGGAAATGCGTTACGGCTGCCGTAACGATAGCCACTGCGAAAATAAAATGCTAGTATAGGCCTAGTCGGACTCCCTATTATCGCGGCATCCCTATTATCGCGATATGACTAGAGGTAGGCCTACCGGTAGTTCAGTAAATTGGCCACATTTATGATGCTGTGTCTGAACATGCTAAATCATGAATGTATAATGTAGGCCCTTTAAAAATTAAAATCAGACTAACTTTAGCTCATAAATTTGGCCAACCTCCCTTAATAAGGGCCACACTGTACCCAAAAATGTAGAACTTTGTCAACTTTTGATTTTCATATTTAGACTTTGTAGATATATTTACACTTTAGTAGCTTGAGTATTAAACTCTGCTTATCGCAATGCGATACGCATTGGAGCTGGAGTTACTCAAGCCAACACTTTGGAAGCATACCGGTACTAAACCTCTTTAAATCGATGGAAAGCAAGTCCCTCCTTTCTCAGTGTCTATTTTTCGTGTAATTTCAAGGCTTGTTTGCACACATTTGCATACCTAATTTCCAACGCGCGCGTACGTACACAAGTATGCGCGTAATTCGAAGCCACATGACATTTGAACATGCGTACATCATCACAGGTTGCGTGATGCAGCCTGTTTTTCGCACACTATTCTCAACATACCAGTAAGAGCAGAGAATGTCGTGTCTAGGTTTTATGAGGTGTCTATGGTTACGGCAGTCGACCGTCTAGCTCCTTGACTTCATCGAGATACCGAACTGGCCAATAAATTCTTGACCGTTATTTCAACGAAATATGAAAATCCTCCAAAGCAGAAGCTGCTGATCATCAGACTCGATTGTCTGTTTTGACCAGGATAAAAAAAATGTAGTTTTGTGTTGCAGACAACCCACTGACATGGGGAAGTACAGCAGTGATGAAGAAAACAGCGACGACGAAGGAGAGCGGACCCGCGTCTACATCGGCGACATCAACTATGAGACGTCCCGGACAGACCTGGAGAAAGCCTTCAAGAAGTTTGGCCCGCTGTTTGAGGTGTGGTTGGCCCGGTACCCACCGCTCTTTGCCTTTGTCGTCTTCCAGAATAGGAAGGATGCGGAGGAGGCCGTGCGGGAGATGAATGGAGAGTGAGTAGACATTAGGCTCAGTGCATCGAGTCATGGGCGTCGCCAGGATTTTTTCCAGGGGGGGGGAGCAAAGCAAATTTTTCCTTAACCCTAACAACCCTGAGCCCATCAAGCTCCAACAGCGGGTTTTGCTTGATTTTGGCAGGGTTGGTACCGAACACTGGCCAGTGTTGGACTTTGATTGACTGGGTACCAAAGGCCCAGGGAGACCCTGTTGAATTTTGTGAGGTTCGGGGCAGAAGGGCATGAGATTTGTGAACACGTTGGAGTTCACTGGCATTTCTTCGTGGGTATGCTCACCCACGGTCCTCAGCACAGCTTGTGGTCAAATGTGCATGTACATATTGCTTTATTTTGTTAGGTTTGGTACCATCCCTATCCAATCACTCGACAATGCATAGGCCAATCCATACCAAGTCAATCAAACTCCAACAGTTGGAGTTTGGCAGGTTTAGTTTTTTTTCCCCTAGCGACGCCCATGCATCAAGTTAAAATAATGGGGTCCATGACACAAAGTTTAACCCTAACCACCCCAACTCCATCAAAATCCATTCCCCGATTTTGGCGGATTTTAGGGGACTTGGTCCAGTGGGCCTGGTGTGACTAAGTATTGATGGAGTATGATGGACTTGAGCCTAATGGCCTGAAGCAGTGCTTGGGGTTTCCAATTGACTCTGCCTACCAGTACTGCTATTGTCATACATTGTAAGCCATGTGTATTGGTAAGTCTATCAATGTCAACCAGAACGTCGGTGGTGGGTTCCATTGTGTCATTTCTTGAATATGGTCCGTGGAGGGGTGACCACTGCCAACATCCTGCGGCAGTGACTGTCAATATGTTGAGGCTTGGCCAGTGACATCCTGGAGCAGTACGGAAGATTTCAAGCATAATCCAGGCCAATATTTATGCATGGTTGAGCAAAAACAAGGTCCGGCCCAAGGCCTTGACAAAGTGCATCCTACCATGTAACCTCAATCCTCCAAATTCCTCCACTTTGGCAAAGAGGATTTTGAAGGATTCAGGGCGGTTTAATAGGGTTAATGGAGAAGCCATTGTGTGCGCTATTGTTCAAAGCCACTTCCTCATGACGGGTTATCTGAACAGTAGCTTCACAATGCTTTCTCCATTGAAAGGTCCTTCGTGATAGAATTTATAGCGTGCCCGCATTGGTCGAACACTGTGGTATTGTTCCAGCTGTTTTCCCATTGCATGTTCATGCAGTTGCAAAATGCACGATAGTATGATATGGGCAGTGCAATATGGACGGTACAATATGGGATAATACCCCACAGCTGTTGTCATGGATTGACCAATCAGGCTCCAGGACTCAAGTTTGTTTGAAGATCAATCAGTGTTGTAGTTGAGTACTTTTTTCCGAGTACCGAGTACTGCCGAGTACTTGAGTTAGCGAGTACGAGTACTAGTACTTCCGAGTACGAGTACTACCGAGTACAAGTTTAGGTCTCCGAGTACGAGCACTTGTACTTCCGAGTACGAGTCCGAGTACTTGTATTCCGAGTACAAGTACTATTTCCGAATACGGCCATACCGCAAATGACTCATTGTGCATAATTGGCCCAGGCCCAGTCAGACCGATATACAGACCCACTCACGGCTAGCTGTTAAATGTGTTTGTCCGGACATAAACAGAGAAAAATCAGGGAACTTTGAATTCTCTGCAAGCCAATCAACCATTTCCAACTGAAAGTATCGATAATAAAATAAGGCTGTGGTAAGTCAAGCTGTACCATTTTTCGAGTTCTGCTATTCGAGTACGAGTACTTTGATGATCGAGTACAATTTCGACATGTCGAGTACGAGTACTTTGCTGCCCGAGTACGAGTACTGTCATTTCGAGTACGAGTACTTTGACACTCGAGTACGAGTACAAGTACTCCAAAAAAGTACTCGAGTACGAGTACTACAACACTGATATCAATGTTATTATTTTGATCCCTTTCAGGACGATCCGTGGCTCTCGGGTGCAGGTCAACGTTGCTCGTCCTCGCAACCGCGGCCGGATGGGCTTTGGCCGGTCCACCTTCCGTGATTCGGACATCCGTTGTTTCCATTGTCGGGAGCGGGGCCACATCGCCCGGCACTGCACACGCTTCACGTCGGGCTATCGCCGCTACTTCAGCAGGTTGGTACCCCGCTATAATACATGTCGTGCCATCTTTACGGCTACCGACGTGTACAAATATACTACCCTTCAACAAACCCACTCGTACTCTTCATTTGTGCCATCACCCTATCCAACGGCGCTGGTGACTTCTAATTGCTTTCACAAAATTTAGTGAAGAAACGCATAATGTTGTTAAGTTTTGGGGGTATTTTCACACTATCGTCTCTCCTACATGTACCTGTGTTGAAATTAACACAGGTTCACTGCCCGAGGGAAGGTATAGGCCAGCCGTTCACACTGTACACGGGTCGTTCGTAGATTTTGGATTTTGTACCTGGGTAGAGCCTCTCAATTAACTCTGGTCCCAACCAGGCGTGTGATTTTCCCCGTGTACAGCGCCAGACCCATGTACCAGGCATGCAACTTTTTCTCGGATCAGCTGATTTCCTCGTATTTTTACTTCTCATGAATGCCATTACAAATTGGAAAACACTGTACAAAGAATTGTGTGGTTTGGAATTTCCTCGTTTTTTTTTTTTTTTCTAAAATCCCAGTTGCATGCCTGATTTACATGTAGAAGGCATGTTGGATTCCTGCTAGTGTGAAAAAGGTCCCTGAAATGTCCCTTGTTGGAGCCAGACCAACACAGGTACATTGTAATTTGGACAGTGACAAAGGCCCATAACAGGCATTTTAAAAAGGCCAAAAAAAATAATAGTTCTGCTTCCCGTTTCCTTACCTATCCTATTCTGACAGCCCCTACCCCAATTTTTTTATGGGCAAAATGAGGGGGAAAAACCAAAAACCATCAATTTCTTCCTTTACCTTTGACAACACGCTTTCATATGATAGTGCACACAAAAAATTGGCCAAAAAAAAAAATTCCCTACCTATACCTACCTTCCTATCAAATGCCATGTAATTGGAAGCAGAACTATTTTTTTTGGCCTAAGCTGTTCACGCATTTCATGCATACATGGAAGCATTGACCTCCAGTTCAACAAAATCTATCCAATGAGAGCTCAAAGAAATGAGAAGTCACCAGTTGCCCTGGATACCGAGATGAGGGCTGTTGAGCTGCCATTTTGAAATACTGTACAGCAGGTTTAGTCTAGATTTGTGATTCATACCGTACATGTACTTCCACTGGTTGTAAAAAAAATTATTCAGAATATACTTTTTGTTAAGTGACCAATGCAACAGTATTTTCTCTTAACTTTTTATATTGAGGCAGAACAAAAATCTTGAATTTGTTTTTGGTTTGAACACTAAACTACAAATTTGGTACCATATTCACTCATGCCCAGCTACCCAGAATGCATTGCATATATCAAAAACGTCTAAACAAAGAAGTTTGAAAAAACATAATGCTAATTAAGATAATATTTATGCCCTCTATTGGATATAATAACCATCGTCATATGTTAAATGAAAATTGGACTTCAATATTTTAGTTTTCTGCAATCTTCTTTTAGATGTTCCAATGTTCCAAGTTAGAAACACTGCTTAAAATCAAACGTCTGAGTTTTGTAATCATACCGACAGTTTGTTCATATCACTGAATTCATATTTTTCATTTGCTGGTATTTTGTACATAACCTCTAGGCTGGTGTGTGGGCTTTGTTGTTGGTTGCCATTGGCTGCGATGGTGTCAGGATGAGTGGAAAAAATGTTGGGGAATTAGTGTGGTGATGATGATGTCGTTAAAGTTGCCGAGAAAACAAAATAAAAGATCCCTCTTGGCGCAAAGCAGTTGGTGTTGTGGTTTGGTCCAATGCCCCTCCTCCACTCACGATGTTGGTTCTCTGGACTGTGATTGGTTGGCAAGGAAGCCCCGGAGACTTGTGATTGGTTGGTTGTGAGTTGGCGGCTGGGTCATTTGGCAAAAGAATATGGTTTTATAAAAATCATATGGTAAGTGCGAGTGCAATTCATTTTTGATGTTTTGGGTTTTCGTTTGTTTTTGTTGTTTTTCTTATTACTACTTGTATGATGGTTTTATAAGTTTTGTTGGCTTTTTCCCCTGCAATACCACAGAATTATCTCACATAAACCATTTTTTAAGCCACACTTCACTTATCTGTTAATCTGCCCTGTCAGTGTTTTAACCCTAACCCCTTGAGCACTTTTACTAGAAAGTATCCAGAATCCGCCAAAATCCACCAATTTTGTCATGCAAAAAAATGTTGGTGTCCTGAGTCCATCAGAATCCACCAGTATAGTACATACATGTATACCTCATATAGCCAACTGCTGAGATCCTGAATCCATCAAAGTCCCCCAAATGCTCGATATGGAGGTATCCTGAATCCATCAAAATCCTGCAGTACCGCTAGGTTTTACTGTCCTGAATCCATCAAAATCGCCCAACTTTTTCAGTATGGAGGTATCCTGAATCTGCCGAAATCCTCCAAAACAGGGCAGTGGATTTTGATGGATTAAGGTACCGGTACATGTATGTACGTGTACGTTAGGGTTAAAAGGTAAAATAATGTACCCTAAACATAGTTTGACTTGAATATTTTATCCTTCCAAGACACAGTGTACCATAATTTTTTAGATGACATCTATATATAAGTATGTACATGTACCTTCAGCCATGTCCGAATTACTTGGCTACGGCTAGCAATTACACACGGGTCTATGGGAAGTGGCTGCTGCGGCTACCATTAGGCACGTGTGTAAAATAAGCCGTAGCCCAGTAAATCGGACATGGCCTTACATGGACCACAACTTGCTGTAAAGTAGAAAAGAGAACTACCAAGGGACGAAAAAAAGAAACAAGGTTTTTCCTTGATAAATTTGTAATCACTTAAATACGTTTCTTTTCTTTTTTGGTGTTATTTTTCCCATTTGGATATTTAATCAAACATGATTGTATTTTTCAATCCCCTCTTCATTCAAACTTTTGCCAGTGAGTAATTTCCTTAAAAGGGTCCTCTATATTTAAGTGCCAATATTGTGTATACAGCCTCTAACAATAAAAATGTGGATGTTTGAATTTTGTCTGATGTAGCCCTCCATAGCTGCTGCCCACCGACAATTAGAGAAATTGTCACTGAATTTTGTCTGTTCTTCTTTTTAAGGTCCCGCTCTCGATCTCGCTCGCCTCGTAGGAGCCACCGCAGCGGCAGTCGGGAAAGAAGGTAAACTTTTGACAAAACGTGTTGAACTTTGGAGATTTAGATTTGAAAGGAAACTAAAGGTTTAGCCATACTAGTCTTGGCCTCAGACTGGATTTGGAATTGTGTTCAGCTGAACCAGCCAGTCACTTACAGGCATGGTCATGCTGTTGTGGCAGTAGAGGGCGCTATCACCAAGAATCAAATCCAGTGTTGGGAACTTTGAGCCTTGGATCCAAGTTATTCCGAGCATTCGTCGTGCCCATGCACTAGCTTGAATATAGCGTGCATGAGGTATGCTCCGAATTCTGAAGGCTGAATGCCAAAGTTCTAAAGTCTGCATTTGATTCATCTTGTAGATGGCGCCATCTACTGCCGTGGTTCTAATACGTCCTTAGCAGTGCCATCTTTCAGCGCACACGAGTTATTGCACTGTAAAGCGTTTCACGGTAGCGGGCGCCCTTATAAACACGCGCCAACTGTCCGCAAGGGATGCCTTGGCAATTTCATATTTTTGTATGTGCATTTGCATGCGTGCAAGGCGTAGCATGTCTGCTTTCTGTGCGTACTGCAGTTTTCCAAGCCTTGCGTGTACAGCGTGCAACGAGCCTTGAAGCGTTGTCGGATGAAAATGTCGACTGCGTGGACGAAACAATAAATTTTGCATCAAAGAAGCTGGGCCTTGGATGGCTAAAAATCAGTACTCTAAGTCAATTTGGACGTAAAATGGAACAGCTCTTTTGTTTCCACCAATTTGCATTTGCTGCTATTTTTGCATATTAAGTCAAACCCTTTTGCAAAGGGAAATTCCAAAGACGTTCTTGCGTGTGGTTCATCGACCGAATCAGGTTCGTGAACTACCCCGCTAGAAATGTCTTGCACCGAGACTACGGCCGTGGAAGAATAACTGCTCGTTTTTAATACTAATTATTTCTGGTAATGAAACCAAGGATTCCTCAAAAATACTGGTAGTGTAGGCACTGCAGCTTGCTAGCCTGAAGAAACCTGTCATGCCTGTAGAGAGAAGACAATGAGAAGAAGTTACAGCTTTAGCGGTGGGGGGAAAACCCCAGAAGAATATTCTGGGGAAACCCATGGAATCAGGTAGGGACTGAAAAATTAATCCACATGTGGACCAGGGTAGGAATCGAACCCAGGTCACAACGGTGGAAGGCAAGGAAGGAAAAGCTAGGCCAACCTGACCGGCCGGCAGTTTTGACCCCATCATTGTAACTATGTTATCATCTCTGTACAGGTTGTCCACATATGAGAACCTGGACCAAAATAACATTCATAAATACCTCAGACAGTTTGCCGACTCCTATTGGTCGAGGGCCTGTCACGTGGGTGGTTTTAAACCGCCAGTTAAACGCCGCTGCGTTTTGCACCACATCACAAAGTATGCGCCGCGTGCGTGCTGATTTCCATATACATGTAAGCAGATTTTTAGCATTACGCACGCGAGTTGCGAGGCACACACTATAGATAGGCCAGAGGGGTGTTTCGCAAAACAGGAAGTCAAATTGTTTTCTCCACAAAGCAAAAGACCTCACTGTACACACTTGTATCATGCTGCATTGTCACATTGATGTGGCAGTATTATCGTGCGGACCTTTTTGAACAATCCGAATTGCAACTTCCAAGATTTGAATTTTGGGGTTGGGCTTCTTTAACTGGTACCCGGTTCCCATACAACCCGTAAATACACCCTAAGGTTGATTGTTAGTCATTTAAAGATATAGTCCATCATTTGTAATTTGTGCATTTTGTTCATTTGAAGCAACAAAAGTGTTCAAAATCTAATGAAGGATACTGAACAACTAATCTGATGAAGTTTCAGCTCAGCTTCAGCTGTATATTCTGAGAAAAACAGCATTCTAGGATCTCAATTTCAAATCAAAAGTTGCTGAATCATGTTTTGAAGTGTTTTGAATTGCAGCTACATGTACCGGTATACGCGATGTCGCGCACTGATCCGACGAATTATAGCAATCGCGCGCATCTGTGCGTCGTGCCAATGCTTGCGCGCGCTGCACCGAATAACAAAACGAACTACTAATTTAGATTTTCCTACGGTGCATCTTAAGACGCACCGTGTGAAAGGCCTTCTTTCGTTGATTACTTCAAAAAGATAGCTTGCCAGAAAGATTAATTTCACAGGGAGTTTAGTCCACTTACTATCTTTCAACCAAGTATGTTTTTCAACAATAATACGCCAGTTACTTTTTCAGATGGCTGCAAATGATGGACTATAGCTTTAAGGGCTACCTTACTTTTCCATGTACAAGAATCGTGAAAATATTTTATAAAGTTCCCATTGTATTCAATGTTGTTTGAATCGCCTCCATGGTATTTCAGTAGTTTCATTTTTTTTCACCCATTTTTTCCCTGTTTTTCTAGAAAGCGGAGTGCTTCTCATTCCCGTAGTCGAAGCCGCAGCCGTGATCGTGAACGTCGTAGGTAAGAGAATATTTATTTATCCCATGCTAGTCTTTACATTTAGTTGAGTTCATGTACATGTACATGTATATTATAAGTTATCCCGCGAGCGCGAGTGGAACACGGAATAAAATAGTGTGTCTGTGTTCCACATACCACGAGGCCGGTATGTGGGACACAGACGCACTACATTTTCCGTGTTCCACGAGCACGAGCGTGATAACGAATTTATCTTCAAGCAAACTTGACGCGTAGTACAGTTTGGAACGAGCACGCTTTACACGGACATTCAGCAGTTCAGTGTTTGCAGCTAAAATGTTGCTCGCATCTTGGAACAGCAGAATACGCGGAATGCGGTATGGACCGAGGCTGTGCTACATGGTTATATGTAGCACGTCTTGTTGCCATGGATCCACCAATCAGGAATGAGGATTCAAGTTTACTTGAAAATAATACCATGTGTCTAACTTGTACAAGTACTTTGACATGAGTATGAGCACGAGAACAAGTAAGTTCTTTGAGTACGAGTATATGAGTTTTTTTTCCTTTAGTGTAGGTACAAATCCTAGTACATTTCAACAAGTACGATACAACTACGAGTACTAGTACTTTTTCCGTGATGCAAGTACATTTCAGTTGTTAATTATAGTGTTGTTCATTTTTTGAATAATTTAGCATTCAATTATTTTAACTTTTCTTTGATTGAATATGCAAGTATTCAAACATTGACACAGACTTAAAAACAAATTTTGTGAATATCAAGCATGTATTGATGTTTATTCGAGGTACGTACATGTAGCTGACTGCTGTAGTTGATATCAGATTTTAAAGATTGAAATTAAGTGTATATCCTTACGGAAGCTCTCAAGTCCTGCATGTGAAGTGGCTGTTCCCAAAAATCTTGCATTTGACAAAGAATGAAACCACTTAACTGTACGGTGCCACGATTCACCGCTATGCAAGTTTCCACTCAACGATCGATCAATAAGAAAAAGACATTTAAGGTCAGCTTAGGCTATTAGCATAATGAGCACCACCCCCAAAACCTCACATGGACGATTGAACCAAGGCTCTCTATCATCTCCAACTGATTTGCACAAAAAAGTGGCCGCATGAGGTCGCTGTTCGCTCTGTATTTTTACATGCACTGCAAGGCGAGGATATGATGCCAATTGATTTCCGCGTACGGACAAATAACGACGAGAGCCTTGACCAAGGCTAGCACAGCCCTAAGTCTTGCAGTGATTGGCAACTATTTACCGTTATGAGTCAACCAGATTCATAGCATACAATTTCTTGTCTCTGATGTTAATATGCTGCCAGGCCATGATCAATGTTTCATGCCTTTCATATGTGTTATGCATACATGTTCGTGTTCTACATAACCCCCGAGGACAGACACACAAAGGGAGAAGAACAGATCCTTTCAGTCTTCCGGCGTTGGGTCTTTTGTTCAAAACGGTCCTCTGTCGTAGGTTCATGTGCTTAGTCTATGGGAGAGTGTTATATTAAAGGGACATAGGGAAACACAAAGCATTGTCCTCGGGAGTATAGCAAGTCAAGAGTGTCTGTAATAGCTAAATATTGATGGGCATGTTGCAACATTGATACATGTAATTACCAGGAAACAAATCTACCAATGTAATGAGAAAGTGTACAAGTTAAACTGCTAAAAGTAATGATAGGGATGGTACCAAATACATGTACCCTGTGAAATTATTCATCCTGAAATGGTATCATTCGGAGAATAACAATCAATGAACACTGTTTAAGGTGGTTTAAACCAAAAAAAAAAGTTACCTGCGTTAGCAATGGAATCTAGTTATGAGACCCAACAAATTAAAAAAGTGCATACAATGTATGTGCACAATGTATGCTTTTCTCTGATTTCTCAAAATGTACGTGTAATATAGCCACTGAGCTTAAACTTTCTTAAAGGTACAGTCCATCATTTGTAATTTGTGCATTTTGTTCGTTTGAAGCAACAAAAAAGCTCATAATCTGAAATGGGTCCTGAACAACTAACCTGATAAAGTTTCAGCTCAGCTTCAGCTGTATATTTCGATAAAAACAACATTCTGGTATCTCGATTTCAAATCAAAAGTTGCTAAATCATGTTTTGAAGTGGGCCTGAATTCAGCGTCCGAGACACGTTCTCACTCAGCCAATTGCAGCTACGCGATGTCGCGCACTGATCTGACGAATTATAGCAAGCGTGTGGGTCGTGTCAACGCTTGTGCACGCTTCGCTGAATAAAAAAAAACGAACTTCTAACGGAAATTTCCAATGGCCTTCTTTCGTTGATTTCTTCAAAATGACAGCTTGCCAGAAAGATTAATTTCACAGGGAGTTTAGTCCCCTTACTATCTTTCAACCAAGTATGTTTTTCAACAATAATTACATCAGTTACTTTTTGGATAGCTGCAAATGATGGACTGTAGCTTTAACCCTAACCACCCCAACCCTTCAAAATCCAACTGCATGTTTTGTTTGATTCGGTTGGAGTGAGTACTGCACTAGTCAACTGATTATGCTTTACATGGGATCAGGCATACATGTACAACCACCATAATCAGAGTCAAACAGTTTGGGTGTGGAGTTTAGGTGTTGGATTTTGCAAGAATGAGGAAGGATCCTAGTAAATCACGCAAGGGGGTTAAGGGTTAAGCTTTTGAGGAAAATCAATGCACAAAGAACAAATAATCCTACGTACCGTTTAACGTTGAAACGGTGGATGAAAGGTTTGCTATCAAAAATCATTCATACATGTAAATACCTAAGACAGTTTACGCATTCCTATTGGCCGAGAGCCCGTCACGTGGCCAGTCTTAAACGGATGATAAAGACATGGCTAGCTGGTCTTAAACACTTTTTCGGTGTCACATGAAATTTGGACTCCCATGAAATGCAGTGCCTTTTAACGTTTCATTGGTTGAACGTTCACATTCCTCACGTATGCATGACCAATACTACCAGTGAATCAGTATTTCATGGTTCGAAATTCACACTACACCAGCCCAGCTGCGTTTTGCACGACATCGCGCAGTACGCGTGACGCGCACGCCAATGTCCTTATAAGGTAACGAGTTGTGGAGGGGCATTCCATATTATAGTCAGAGGGGTGTTTCGTAAAACATGAAGTAAAATTGTTGAACAAAAAGGTTGGCAACGTCTAGTTTTTGACTTATTTTGATTTTTGGACTGAAAAGATTTGGGGTTTTTTACCGAAAAGAAATTTAAGAATGGGAATAAATATGTGTTCGGTCGGTATTAAACACTCTGTTTAAGACCGGTGGGAGTCTGGATGGGTGATAATTACCCGAGGCGAACCCATCCAGACTCCCAACGGTCTTAAACAGAGTGTTATATTACCTTCCGAACACACATTTATTCCCTTATTTAAATTAAACGTTGATCCCCACCTTACAGGCCAACCATACTTTTATCCCAATGTCAGAGTTGGACTTCCAAACACTGTTAATGGCAACACTTCTTGTTCGTTCCTAAAAGAAAAGAAAAAAAGAACATAACCTTGAGATCACATCACATTACTTCCGCTTCAAAGCTTAACTGAAGACAATTAGATTATCAAATCATCTGGTCTGATGGGTTTCCTCTTTTGAATGGCTTCAGAAACCAAAAATCTAAAAGCTCTCACATTAAGAGGTAAAAAATCAGCGTCTCCTTATCTGATTACTGTGAAGTCAGTATGGTTAAGAGCTGAAATTTTCGCTTCCTGGAGTAAATTTCAGTCATTAGAGTCGTTTCAAATTGTTCTCCACTCAAAGGAGGGAAACCAGAATATTAGATTTAGGCCTAAAACTCTTTGAAATTTGTCTGTCTAAAGAGGTTTTTTTTAGCCTTTTGTTGCTCAAGTGACATGCATCAACGTTGAGTTATTAAGATTTTGACAGCCAAGGACAAAAGACACAAAAAGGGCTTTCAAAAATTGGGCAGCGTTTGATGCACTTAGGAGTGTTCCGAGGCTCGAATAAGTCAAAGTAATTCCTATTCAGAAGCACTTTCAATTAGATTTATTTCCGTCTTTGAATCTTTTCTCCACCAACTGGTAAATAGACTTCAGATGCCTTTGCTGCCTAAAGACCAACATTAAATTTCCTTTTTCTGATCAAAAACTGCACCACTCAGTCTCGCCGCATTTGCGCGCGCCCGCAGAAATTAAATTACAAGTTGGGTGCACTGTCAGTCATTCGGGCAACAATACTTTTTACAAGGATCTGAGTGCACGCTTGATTGTGTTAATGGGACGCCGAAAATTTGGCTATTAACACTGTGGTACATATTTTGAAGACTACGTACACTGTCAAAGTGTCACAGTGCCATCACCTCAGTCCTTGTAGAATGACTTCTGGTCTCTGGTGCACATCATTGCACATGTACATTTCCAGATGCACATTTGAACATTATGTAAGTAATACCACATGAATACATCAAGTGACAATCTCTGCAGATGATGTACGTGTTCTACATAACCCCCGAGGACCGACACGTAAAGGGAGAACAACAGATCCTTTCAGTCCTAGGGAGTTGTGTCTTTTGTTGGAAACGGTCCTCTAGAGTAAGTTTGTGTGCTTAGTCTATGGGAGAGTGTTAGATTACAGGGACAAAGGGAAACACAATGCATTGTCCTCGAGAGTATAGTAAAACACGACTGTATGTGTGTGTGTGTGTGTGTTGTTTTTCCCCTTGATAAATGTATTTCAATATGTTTAGGTTAATACATGGACTAACATGGTACCGTAACATTTTTTTCACAAGTTACATCTGACCAAACCTTCTCCTCAAAAGTCTTGTTGAACTCAATTCTAATGTTTTAAAGCTTCAAAACATAATTACTGTTAGATTGCATAACAGTTTCAATCATGGGCATTATCTATTCGACTGTCCGATCCATATTGTAACCAGGGCCCAATTTCATGGCACTGATTAACAGTTGGCAGAAAAGTTGCTCTAATTACATTTATCTTCAAGAACTAACTACATTTATCTTCAAGCAAACTTGAATCCTCGATCCTGATTGGTCGATCCATGGCAACAAGCCGTGCTACATAATAACCAAGTAGCATGGCCACGGTCCATACCGCACTCTGCATTTTGCACTATTCCAAGATGCGCGCGCCATTCCGTACAAACCACACACGTGTAATAGGATATATTCACTTTGTGTACAGCGTGCGTTTCATCATTCTTGTGCGTCAAGTTTGCTTGAAGATAAATTCGTTATCACACTCGCACTTGTGGAACACGGAAAATGTAGTGTTCCATTATTCTGTGTTCCACGCGCGCTCGCGGGATAACTTATATTATCTTCAAGCAAATTTGTATCCTCGATCCTGATTGGTCGATCCATGGCAACAACATTGTGATATTATACTGTATCGCACGGACCATATCGCACCCTGTGTTTTGCGCTATTCCAAGATGCTAGCAACATTCCAGCTGCAGGCGCTAAACAACTAAAAAGTTCCCGTAAAGCGAGCTAGTTCCAACTTTACTGTGCATCAAGTTTGCTTGAAGATACATTCCTTATCGTGCTCGCGCTCATGGAACATGAAAAAATGTAGTGTGTCTGTGTCCCACATACATGTAGTACCTGGCCTCGTGGTATGTGGGTCACAGACACACTACATTTTTTCAGTGTTCCACTTGCACTCGCGGGATAACTTATAGTGTAGGCTACATAGCAGAAAGGTGTGCTAACCTTAAGCACAGCTACATGTGCATGTACCGGTAGTTGCGCACGCATGGAAATATCTTTTTTTTACGTCACTGATTTAAGCAACTTTTTCCTCTGAGGTAAGCAAGTTGCCTTTTGCTGTGCTTACTGCTTATGGTCTCCATGAAATAGATGGAGGCTCTGTTAGCAGAAAATTGGTTGTGCTTAGCAGCGCAATGAAATTGGGCCCTGATAGAATGTTTATAATTTAGACTGACAAAAAGCAATCAGTTGTTATTTATGGATTTCTCATTGTACATGTACTACTCTAGCATACATGTAAAAACAAACTCCTGTGTCTAATAAGCATAATGGAAGCAATAAACTGACAACCGTTTTTTCCATTGCCATTGCCTCGAAAGCAGGAGATCAAATTCTGATCAAGCACTTGACAAATTAATCAATAAAGAGGCATCGTATTTCGGGGACCCTTGCCATTTTCTGTTCGTGTAGCAACAAAAAAAGATGAAATCACTCTACAGCATGTACTCATGGGATCAAACAAAGACTAGAATAGATCTTCGAGATATTCTAGCATTTAAAGCTTTTGTGTTCTGTGAAAGTCTTTGACTACGATGTAGTGAATCTCAAAATGCTGAAACCCTATATCCATGTCTAGCACCCTGGCTCTGTGTCACCATTGTTTTTTGTCTTTAACCACCAGGAGCCGGACTGAACAGGCAGCATCTTAGTAAAGACAGCTTGTGAAGGGTAGGCATATCATTTCACTTGGCTTTTCTTTTAGTTGTTGAACTTGGACTTGCATATCTGGATAAGGTTTCTGATGTGGATTCATTGCATGAAAGATTTGACCTAAATGGAATGAGCTCTTTGGACTTGTAACTTTAATAGCAGCTCTGTTCAGTTCTCTCTTATTTCTCAAAGGATTGAACGGTGCTGATGGCCCTTGCCAACTTGTTACTTAGGGAATAAATATGTGCTTGGCTGGTATTAAACAAACTTGTACGTTTAAAACGGGCTAGGGGCCTGGTCACGGATAACGGCCCGAGCGTGGGCCGAACATAAATACCTTTCAGTCATAAAGTCAAAACAAGTCAAAAATTCACAATTTTCAAACTATTTTGTTCAATAATTTTACCTCATGTTATGGGAAACACCCCTCTTGCCATGTCAGTGGTATGTGCCTCGGGCGCGTAGTACTAAAAATCTCCTTTTATGGTATTAATGAATGATTATTAATTTGTGGAAAAGGAGCCAAGGATTCTTCAACAGTGCCTAATTCACCGTAGCTCCCAAGTCTGAAAATAACAGTTGAGTAAATTAACAATTGGGGAAAATAATATTCTGGGGAGAAGAATCAGGTAGGGGTGCAAACCCAACCACATGTCAGTATGGTTGGGATTGGAACCCGGGCCACAAATGTGGAAGGCGAGGGAAGAACCACTGCGCCAACCTGACTCCCCAAGACGTTGTGTAAGTTCCAATTGGGCTTTCTTGAGAGACAGACTTATTATCCCACAAACACAGTAGTCTTTGCACAGAAAAGACAAGTCGTTACACTACTCGCTGCCACATCTAATTCAATCGTGGTCCGCTCATAAGTCCGACGCCTCATAGGTCCGACGCCTCATAAGTCCGACAAAATCGCATCCCCTTACCAAATAAAGTCCCATAAGTCCAACGCCCTCATAGGTCTGATGCCTCATAAGTCCGACGCCTCATAGGTCCGACGCCTCATAGGTCCGAGGCTTCATAAGTCCGACAAAATCGCATCCCCTAACCAAATAAAGGCCCATAAGTCTGACGCCTCATAGGTCTGACACCTCATAGGTCCGAGGTCTCATAAGTCCGACAAAATCGCATCCCCTAACCAAATAAAGGCCCATAAGTCCGACGCCTCATAGGTTCGATGCCTCATAAGTCCGACAAATTAAACACCTCGTTTTTCCGACGTCGGACTTATGAGGCATCGGACCTACATGTATGAGGTGGAACAAATCAATTTTCTGCCTCATAAGTCCGACGCCTTATAAGTCCAAAATTTCGGACTTATGAGGCGTCGGACCTATGAGGCGGGGGACTTATGATACAGCCCCAGTCAATCGACCGCTGATGACCCCGGCAAGCTCAGTGGTGGACTGGTTGAGACGTCTGCACTACTAAGCGTGAGGTAGTGGGCTGAAGTCCCACCCGAATGAAATTTTCACCGTCTCTCATGCAGCATGGAATATACAGTGCTAACAAAATTCTAATGTTATTCACCATACAACCCCCCAATATGTTCAGCCCCAGTTGATTGGTTTTGCAGGGTCCCTTTTTTTTGGTAATTTACAAATGGAATGGAAAGCCATATGCCGTCATGCACCAAAAAGCTTTAAGTCTATTACCAAGTCAAATTGAGATTGTACACTACATGTGTGCATGCATGATAGAGCATGGCAACGTGATAATGCGTGACCGAACTGCAAATTTCCACCATAAACGGGCCGGTACCCAAACCGTGGCACTACCTGAAAACCAGTAATAATGTGTATTTATTAAGAGCACGTATCAACCACAATTGATGCTACATCGGCACTACATCGTTATTACCCTACTCATTGGGCCAATGAAACATTCCAAATACCATCTCAGCTCCCTGGGGAGTACATATATACAGCTGAATGCTGCCATTTCCGCACAAAGCAGCTAAAATCAACCACATAACCATCTCTGCCCTCACAGGAATTGTGGGCGGGGAGAAGCAATGAGTGACAAAGTGCCTTGCCCCAGGCTGGACTCGAACCCACAACCTGCAGAATTACCCGCAGACCACAAATTCAATGCTCCAGACCACTAGGCCACGGCACTCCAGTAAACTGTAATTTATATCCATTGCAATTAGCAGCCGTCTTAGAGATGATGTTTTCAATATTAATTCATTACCAGTGAATGAATTCGAGGTCTACCGGTACCTTTGCACATTATCATGAAACAAAAGCACCCCATGCACTAGTCTTTGTACAAGACTGTATTTGTAGTTTTATTCCCCTATTTTGCAGTCAGTCCACCCTGTGACAAACATAGCTTAACAAGTTGCTGCGGCGGTAGAGGTCTCTATCAACAAGATGAATCAAATTCTTGGCATTATTGGCAGCACTAACCAGGAAATTCCAAACATACAATGTACCTCATGCACTTGCCCCATAAATGTGGCCAATTTACTCGACTACCGTACCTCCGTAAATAAAGGCCACACTTCCACCATGTTCAAAAACATGTAGAACTTCATGTCAAATTGTGATTTTCACATTTAGGCTTAGTTTGTAGTTTATTTTTGCTTTAGAAGCATACTCACCCTCTTCATAGGCTAATCAGAAAGTGCTGCCTTTTTCAGATGTCTTTTTTTGTGAAATTTCCATATTCGTTTGCACACGTGTGCGTATCAAAATTTCACCATGAAATTTCACGAAAATTAGACATCTGAAAAAGGCAGCACTTTCTGGGGTTACTCATGCACATACATTAGATTGTATACAGCACGCATGAGGTATGCTTAGAATTTACCTGGGTAGCGCTGCCAATATTGCAAAGACTGGATTAAGTTCATTTTATTGATAGCGACCTCGCTGCTCTATGGTACAACTTAAGAGAAGAAAATCTAAATGCAGTCTTGGACCAAGACTACCCATGCACACACACCTCAAAATGACTCCAATTTTCTCTCACTTCCAATGGAATCTCCCCAGTCTGACGAAATCAAATCAGGCTGTGTGCATGTATCCGCTCCGTTCACAAGTACCCCCTCACCGGCAAAGAAAGCACAGTTGGGGGTGACTGACCGACGCCATCTTGCCTGACTGCAGTTTTGCCGCGACGCGCGGCCGTACCATGTACCACTGCGTGTACATAGTACAAATCCCCTGGTGTGCATGCGTCACACACAATGAACGGTGCGCGTCAACCAGCTAAATGTCCCGCCCGTGGGACGTCGTTGCTAGGTAAAAGGGCGCCCTCTTTCGATGGTGCACGGAGCCCATAGACCCATTGACTTATTTTGTACATTTTAAATATTTCAATTGTGTACAGTTATCAATCCTCCAAAGCTACCAAATTCCTGTAATTGGAACAATGCCCCATTGTTTCAAGAGCTGAGTATAGGACAACCACATAAGTTGTTAAAATTGTGGACAAAAAACATTAGCTCATTGGAAACATTTATGCTTAAAGCTTGCTCAGTGACTAATACTGTCATGTACTTAAACAACAATGAATCACCAAATATGCAGAAAATTTACGACTCAAAAATTCGAAATTTTTGCATCATTCGGCGCTGAGGCAGCTGTAATGTTCACTGAAGTTTCTGCCCCAAATGACGTCACAGTTTTGCTCATGAATATGCAAATTGACACTAGCTTTAAATACAAAAAGGCACCAACACACCCTTTAAAGTGACAAAATAAAGTTTGACAACAGATTTTAATTGGAATACAAAGGTGCATTTTCAATGATTACATCAAAAAGTTTCATCCTTTTAAATCCAACGTGGATGGCTTACGTGTGGCATCTCCATGGCCCCAGCTTGTCTTCCCACCTCGAGTATTCAGTGTCGAACGGAGTGACGTGACCGTCGCCTTTTAGGAGTTTGAGGTGTCGCTCATCAGCTACGGAGGTGTGATCAGCAGGGTTGAATGTATTAGGGCAGCGGTTAAGACCAGCCTCGTTAGAGGAAGCCTGACAATCCCGGGACATACCGTTATTTCGTTTTACCGTTTTGGATTTCTTCAAAAACAAAAACAGTAAACGCACCGTTGACCGTTTTTTCGTTTTACAGTTTTGTCAAACGGTCAAACGATATTAGGTCACAAAAAACAATGACCTTTTTGTTGTTTTTCTTAATTGTTGAAAGCGATAAACGGTTGGTTACTTCATTTCAGAGTGTTGGTTTACAAGAATGTAACCATGAAAAACGGTCAATAGTCCTGTCGACCATTTTTTGATTTAGGTTCGGCAATTAAGCAATGCACCTAGGAATGTTAATGCGTCCTCATGGGATCGAGTCATTGCCTGGGACCCAAATTATACCCTCTTCACATTTTGTTCTCACGACATAGTTTTCGAACTGGCTATTGAAGAGCCGAACTCCAATTTCCTTCAAATATCTGCAACTTCTTCAAACGTATTACCATCCTGTATCCATTGTAAAAAGTAATGTCCTCCCTTGAAGTTTTCCAGCGCCATTTTTGTTTGCAACTCTTAAGCCCCACCAACTGAATCGCATGAGAAGGGGGTCAGGGTCACGCCAGGAATCACACCACGCATTATGCCGAGGTAACACTTTTTCATGTAAAGCATGGTCCCCCTCCATCCCCCTTGCCCAGCACCACAAAATGCACCACGGACTGTTCACTATGACACTGAAATAAATAAAAAAACAGTCTGTATTCAATACTGACCGTTTTGCTGTTTTTCAAAGTTATTTGTGTAAAACTGTAAAACAAAAATAGTTGATCGTTATGCTGTAATGAATTTTATTAAACTTATAAAACAGAGAAACCGTATTTATCTTAATACCGTTTGACCGTTTTACAAAACTGTAAAACGACAAAACGGTCAATGGTTTGTCTACTGTTTTTGTTTTGAGGAAATGCAAAACGGTAAAACGAAATAACGGTATGTCCCGGGATTCCTGACACATTCTGGTCACATTTTTGTTCACTATAGCCAGCCGGGCTTCTGAAACAGCCGGCCTTGCAATGAAGCGTCCAAAGAGGTCCAGCTCATCCCCCTGCTTTTCAAATTGGCAGCACTTGTGGTGGCCTGGAAATTGAGGGGAAATGACGTTGATCCGACCTAGCCCTCGGTGCCCCATCAATAAATGCCGGTGTTCCCCTGCACCCCCTCTCCCCCACTGTTGCCTTGTCAGCAGTGTCGGTCCCGTTCCCTGATCACAGACGGGGGGGTGTCTTCAAATCCGAACGTGGAACTTTTTATGTGCGAAGCCAATACGACACTGAGTCCTGGGCCTGCTGAAGGGTCTCAGAATAAATAGGATTCTAGATGTACAGTGATGCAATCCGAGGAATTTGGCCATTTTCCCCTGATTTTTTTAATCATGGAGTGGGCCATGATCCAAAGTTGATTTATCATTACTTTTTGTGTTAGTTTTAAATTTCCCAGCGGTAGTCGCCACCAGGCCGGGGGGGGGGGGGGAATCCTTTAAAACCACAGAAACACTCCCACTCCCTGATTTTAAAAGCCCTAACTCAGAAGGAAACCAGTTAAAAATTGTATCTCACAGTGCATTGTAGCTGGTCTGACTGATGTTTATGGCTATAATTAGTACTTTTTTGCGTCAATTATTATTTAGTTCAATAATCTATTTTAAACAAATAATTATACACCATAGGTTTCCCCATCCATCCACTAAAAAGTCTCGGTACACATTCATAACCGGCCCATTCAAGTTTATTTCGATCAAAATTAAAGAATGTCTTGAATCAGGAATCACTCTATATGAACCATTATACACATGTACCTGTATGTATTCATCCGATAGGCTAATAATATGAAATACTGCTTTTCCCTTTTTTTCTAAAAGAAACTTTGCGCCTTTTCTTTGGAAAAGTTTAACACTCCATTGACAACTGCAAATATGTGTTACTTTAATTAAACATGCATATGACTTCTCACAGTAGGGATCAATGTTTTTCGGATGAGTGGGAAACATGTCTGTTCAGTACGGGTATTAGTTTTGCGCTTCTTTGGTGTATCCAATTTAATAAGAGTTTTGAAGGGGAACATCATCACTACCGGCCATTTTGTTTCCTCTATTTTTATGCCAAAAAGAACTCCCACCAATCTGGGGAGAAAATCCAAATGGCCCTTAGGATCGCTAAAGTGTTCGTCACATCCTAAATCTTGTGCTTGATTTCAGGCTTTCGATGTGGTTCTTCGTAATTTATCTCTCTTTAATAATTCAGGATCCACCATGATTGGGTATTATTTCCAATCCATTAATGTATTGGGCAGGCTATTCTACATCGTAAAAAAACAAATCTAAATGCCATGAGAACTTGCCGACCTCCTTAACAACGGCAGACTAGTCGTCCGGAACGAGGGAAAGACGTGCCAGAACGCCAAGTCTTTATGGGGATGGGGCCTAAGATGGCAAAACTACAGCATGTGTGGTCAGAGCCAAATATTATTATTTGGTTGGGAACCCGAGCAAATAAAGCCACTGCATGTTGCCTACTGATGGGATAAATTGTTTAAAAATAAGGGGGCCTGACCATGCTGAACGTTCAGTCCTTGTAGAATCTTGCAAAGGCAAAATGCTAAGTAATGTAGAACTGCATAATGATGAGAAGATGCTTTGAATGGACCGATCCAGTAAGCACCGCCCCATGGTGTTCTGACCAATCACAGCCGTGATTTATGTCCGACGTGCGTGCACAAAAGTCCGACGTGCGTGCACGCGCGTATGAAGCGCGCGGCAGGAAAATGCAGTGTGGCATTCGAGAGGAGCACGTGTTAATTTGCCCGGTGCGCAGTGGGCGGGGCTTACTGGATCGGTCCATTCCTTTTGTTATTGTCGCTGTGGTCCAATGGTTACGGTGTTCGACTCACGTGCTGTGGTACGTGGGTTCGAATCCTGACGGGGAACATGGTGCTTGTGTTCTTGGGCAGGACACTTTACTACAATTGCCTCTGTCCACCCAGGAGTGTAAATGGGTATTTGTGAAGGTAGAGACCAAATTGCGCAGATCTCGAGCTGCTGCAGAAAAATGGTCTCACTCCTGATGAACAGGAATAATAATTGTAAAGCGCTTTGAAACCTAAGGTAAAGCGCTATATAGATTTGTACATGTAAGCACCACTTTATAATTTCAGTTGCATTTTCTCAGATATTTACATCCATGATTCCATTTTTTTTGGCAAGAGCGTACGTGCATAATGTCAGTACTCGTAATTACCCAAAAAAATCTTGAAAAAAGAACATGACAAGACAAAAGCGTTCAGTTTCAGTGATAACATGAAACATTTGGGGTCATTTTGGGCCGAAGTGCACGTAAACCTGAAGGTTGATGTACCTCTAGTGCACACTGTGGACATCTATCCATCAGCTGGAGATCAGTTAGTAATCCCTCTCAGGATGCTGCAAAGCACAGATGAGTGATCAATAAATCCAACTGGGAAAAAAACCGAGTTCCCTATAGACTCTGCCGGTTTTAAGTTTAAATGCCAGAAAAACATGACGGTGTATCTGCAGAAAGACTGCTTTGAACGTGACTTAGATACGGGGATGATGGTCACTGGTCAGGGGCTTATGTGTGGACCCTTGCATGTAGGTTCTTGAAAGAAAGGTCAGCCATGTCTTGAATAGCAATGACACAGTGTCTGAGATTCTGAGATTTACGCATCCTAATAAAACTTCCTTCAGAAAAGTGTCTTTTGTCGAGTTGACTGGTTTTTATTTTATTTATCTCCTAGATTGCATTTTACAGTGGTGTTGTAGTCGAGCCTGTCACAAATCCTCGCAAGTCCATCATATCAGTCCTCACAAGTCCATCATGCGTCACCCAGCCCTAAAATTAAGACAGGAGTCATTGAAATGAACTCTACCAAATGCATTCCTTTGTTATTGTTTATTCCCTTTTGCATGTGACTGGACTTGTAATGGCCTCAACTACATCGCTGTTTTACACTGGCAAAATACAAAGATTGGGAGACTGCAGAGATTGGGAGAAGAAAGAACACAAACTTATTGAAGTGTTTTACAATATAAATGCATTTTGGGTCCTTCTTAAAGGGAAAATACAACATTTGCAAACATCAACAAATAAAACTACCAAATCATTTTGAAATACATTGCTGGACTGTTAGTGAATGACAGTGTAAAGCATCCTGTAAAATCATGGCACCTGGTATACTGACATTTTCAAGAAAAGTGGTATTTTTGTATCAATTTCCAACGCTGGTCGGCCGACCAGCGTTGGAAAAAAACTGGCTTTTTTTTCAAATAGTGGCCCCAATTGACCATCGCACTTGTTTGCAAGACTGGTTCCCTGACCTTACAATTCCCCAATGTATGTAAACTGCTCTGTTTCTTCTTATATGGAGTCAGGGAACCAGACTACAGGAAAATGATTGTTTTTCTTGGTTTTTATAGCATTTTCGAACCCAAAACCTCAAAAAAGTCAGTGTAACTATATTTGCTATATATTTCCAACCCCCCAATTCCATCCATTTCGGCTGAAAATTACAGCAAAAGCAAATGATGTATATTCCCTTTAATTGGCTCAGACCACTCAGTCACGGACGTTACACTTCCTTTCACAATGCTGGAATTGCCCATGTACCTTGTACCGTTGAAGCCTATTTAGTCAGGTGGCTAAGATCTAATTTTCGTCAAGATCGTGACCGCCTGGTCCAAAGCACCAAACTTGGCAGATAGATTCTTATAGACCTAGAGAAGATATTTAGAAGGGGTGACACCCGAAATTCTTTTGGGAAGGGTGCCTAATTTGCATAAATCGTTAATCCCTTCCGTGTAATATATTTATTCCCATATTTTGGTATATTTTTATTTTTTTCATTTTTTTGAAAAGTGTATTTTGGGATTTTACTTACATATCTTTACTTAAATAACATTTTCCAAAGCATATAAGTGACTGAATAATTATGAGGACATAGTAACGATCCAAAATGGCTACTATTATGCCCTAAATTGCGCGCATTTACCTTGTCCCCAGATATCATCAATTAGTCTTGCCAAACATCAGCATTGATGAACTTCAAATTCACCACGTAGCTTACTGGTACAGTTACCCTATTGAAACCGTATGCAAAATCATGTGAACAATGAGAACATTGTGATATTTAGCCCAGGAAACAAAAACTGGGGAAAAAAACGAGGTGTCCATAAATTGGGCTAACAAGTAAGGTGAAGGGTTGCCTAACATGGAAGACTGGAACAAGTTCAAGGAAATTCCCAAAATTATTGTAGAGAAAACGGTTTGGCGTAGACAATATTATTGTAAACAACAATAATCTCTTATTTGGGGGGATTTTGTTGAACTTGTTCAAGTCCCCACGTTACCCTTCCCGTAGTAGCCCAATTTACGGACACCACATTTTCTCCCCTTTTTGGTCTTTAGGGCCAAACATCAAGATGATATCAATTTTCACATGATTTCCCACTTATTTTTGTTAGGTTAACTATGTCAGTAAGTACCTTTGTGAATTTGAAGCTCATCAATACCCACGTTTGGCGAGACTAGTTGATGATATCTGAGGAAAAGGTAAATGCGCGTAACTTTAGGGTAAAATAGTAGCAATTTTGGTGATTTACTATGTCCTCGTAATTATTCAGTCACCAACATGCTTTAGAAAATGTTATTGAAGTAAGAATATGCAAGTAGGATCACCAAAATACCCTTATAATAAAAAAATAAAAATATACCCAAATATGGGAAAAAATATATTACACGGCAGGGATTAAAGATTTATGCAAATTAGGCACCCTTCCCAAAAGAATTTCAGGTGTCACCCCTTCTAAATATCTTCTCTAGGTCTATAAGAATCTATCTGCCAAGTTTGGTGCTTTGGACCAGTCGGTCACGATTCCGACCATATGCCACCTGACTAATTTGCAAAAGTAAAAAATAATTTGTGTTTCTGTCTGGTTTTTTTCTTCTCCATGTATAGGACAAGTTTCCAGCTGGACCAGCTACTGTGAAAGTTTGCAGCCGTTTTCCCATGCAAACTTCATGGTATGGATCAATGATTGTACACCGACTTGTAAATATTGTAACCGCCAGCATTTATATACTGCTGGTTCACCATCAGCAGAGACCCACAGGTTATGTTGTATTCAATTTCCTTTTTTTATTTTTAAATAAAATTTAATACCCGCGTGGGCTATTGACTTTTTTGTTTTACACATGTACATGCAGCTCCTTGTGCAGAAATATACCAAAATACTAGAATTCCTGTGTGAAAACCAAATTTGAAAGCCTGAAATGATTATGCAGCATGTGTGTTGGAGAGATACAAAAGTTGAAAACAAAGAATAAATTCTGAGCAAAAATTTGGAACTGTGAGCATCATGTAGAGTTTAATTGGTATACTTGTTTAAAATTTGGAACAGAACTCTGTGGCGCAGAAGTTTGAAGGATTAATTTCCCGAACAATTACACACATTGTGAACATGAAATGGAAAATTTTTTTGGTACTGTTTTGTTGAAAAAATTTCAGTTGAAATAATTCTATTTGAAATAATTTTATTTGAAATGGAAAACAGTCAAATGTGGAGAAAAAAATTGTTGGCTGTATATAAAGGATTTTTTTTATATATAATAACTCATGAAAATTATTAAGGATGAAAATTATCGGGCTTACATGTATATAATGCTTATGCAAGCATAATCAGATTAAACAAATCTATGTTCTGTTTTGCATGATACATCAACTTGGGCGTAACTCTTGGAGCTGCCAACACAGAAACTTGCTAATCATTGAAAAATTAGTTACTCATTCAGAACAGGTTACCATGTAAATGTTATACATGTACAGTGTATATATGTGTGTAACGTGACTGGTTAATGTTTGCTGAGCACGTGAGTTCGCTATTCGATATTCTTTTTAGGGTGGCGTGGGTGGCTAGTGCCTAAAGCACTCGCCTCTCACCGATGTGGCCTGGGTTCAATTCCTGGTGTCGGACCATATATGAGTGGAGTTTTCGTTGATTCTCTCCTGTGCCAAGAGGCCTTTCTCCGGGCTCTTCGGTTTTCCAGGATCCTCCGGGCTCTCCGGTTTTCCTCCCTCCGCAAAAATCAACACTTTCGATCTCTGGCTGTGCGCAGTGGTCAGATATGGATCGTATGGTCGCTGCCAAAAGCGCCTTTACATGCCCTCAGTTTAACCACATTGTAGCCGCGTCCTTGGCAGTTCTGCTTCTCAGCTGCGAGTAAGGATGATTAGCCCCCGAATTGTTACATGTATTATTGTTCTGGTCAGGCGCTCCATTAAAATGGTCCCATACAGGTTTTGTACAAGTGATAACTTTGCTGTATATAAAGCAGCCCTGCCCTAGTGCCCTGTATACAGTTGAACACCTTTATAACAAGGTTTTGGGGACTTTACAAAATTACCTCGTTATAACCGGTACCTTGTGTTAACAGTAATAAAAAACAAAGACTCGGGACCTAAAATGTTGCTTGTTATAAGCAGGACGTTGTATTAACAGCGCTCTTCTTGTCAGGGTACGGCTGTACTTCTAAATGACCTTTGAGTGTATGCAGCTCTCATTCAAAGCAGAGCGAAGAGCTGTCAGGAGGATCTGTGACTGTGTGATGACGTCAAAGCAAGAACCCTTCTTAATTCACCTACTTGAAAACGTATTAGCTTCTTGTGGTTCATGGCAACATATGACAATACAATAGCAAGTCACCGATGTCGTAAGCCGTACACAATGGCTTGACTAAGACTAACGTCATCACACATTCAGCCTGTTTATAAGCCACAGACAGATTGTGGCTAATCTGGGCTTTATAAATCTTGGCTTCGCCTTCAGCTGTGGCTTCAGGCTACAACATCATGATTAAGTCCAATGAATTGAGAGACTCCACTGCAATACTGGTCCGCTTTCTGTTAAAGGGAAAATACAACATTTGCAAACATCAAAAAATAAAACTACCAAATCATTTTGAAATACCTTGCTGGACTGTTAGTGAATGATAGTGTAAAGCATCCTGTAAAATCATGGCACCTGGTATACTGTCATTTTCAAGAAAAGTGGTATTTTTGTATCAATTTCCAACGCTGATCGGCCGATCAGCGTTGGAAAACACTGGCTTTTTTTTCAAATACTGGCCCCAATTGACCATCGCACTTGTTTGCAATCGATTACAAACCTAAGTTGAACGGGTACGAGCCAGCTAGACTGGTTCCCTGACCTTACAATTCCCCAATGTATGTAAACTGCTCTGTTTCTTCTTATATGGAGTCAGGGAACCAGACTACAGGAAAATGATTGTTTTTCTTGGTTTTTATAGCATATTCGAACCCAAAACCTCAAAAAGTCAGTGTAACTATATTTGCTATATATTTCCAACCCCCAAATTCCATCCATTTCTGAAAATTACAGCAAAAGCAAATGATGTATATTCCCTTTAAAGACCAATTCGAGCATACTGTTACTTCTATCACGAAGGCCCCTTTTAATGACGAAAGCATTATGCTAGCTACTGCTCGGGTAATCCATTATGGGGCAGTAGCTTTGCACAATAGCTTGCACAAAATAATATGGGTTCAATGTATTTGCGCCATTGAAGGGGGCCTCGGGTGATTAGGGGGGCCTCATTGTGTGATCACATCTAAAGAGATATAATTGGGATGTAGCGGAACAGCATTCTTTTGAATTTTGGGATGAAGATGGAGACAAGGTCGAAGGAGAAGCCAGGGTTTCGTGAACACTCATATTTTTAGACGTGTCTTGAATTGATAACACACTTTTCAAGATTTTTGCAAGATGAAGACAGCTAATATTTCAATTTATGTTTAAGGACACTCTACATCTTGAATTTTGCTGCCCAATTAAGAATCATGGCTTGTGATGCTCTGTGTACAACTAATATTGCCCAATCTGTAAATTATGTGCAAATTTGAAAGGTGCAAGTTTTCTTTTGGAGTTTGGTGGGTGGGTATAAAGTTTATTTACAGTCGAACACCTTTATAACAAGGTCCTTGGGACTTTACAATTTACCTTGTTATAACAGGTACCATGCATTAATAGTAATGGAAAACAAAGAAAACAAAAGACTAGGGAGCTAATATTTTGCTTGTTATAAGAAGACTGTATATTAACAGTGCTCTTCTTATCAGGGTTTGACTGTATTTCCTTCTTTCTTCCTTTTAAATGATGGGGGCTTAATGGCTTATTTTGCATGTTTGGTAAAATGTTGTTGCTAATTTTATGTAGATTGTGTTATACATTCAAATTTTGAGACACTTTGATTATCGTTGTTTTAAGTATGTACATGTACATTATATCAAAGGACCCATTAGAACGGGGAATAAGAAGCCATGGTAGATATCAGTTTTATAAGTTCCTCGGTTGGAATCAAAATGCACTCTTGGACATGACAGCTTTGTGTGATTTCAAGGAAAGAGGCTTTGATTTGAAGAATTGTTCATTAAATCATATCTTTCTGATCACCTTTTTCCATTATGTAAAAAAAAAAATAATAATAATATCCGAATCTTGTCTTGTACCCGAGTCCATAACAAGTCAATCAGAAGTCGTCAAAGTCCAGTCCCATGTCAGTCACAAATTGTTCAAATGGATCGTAACAAAGATATTCCTTTATTTAGGCCTAATTGCTCAACACCTGTTATGTGTGACCGGATTGTGAAGTAACGTGTTATTCATATTTCACAGGACGTGATGAACTCTTACTACTACAAAACTGCAAAATCCAAGCGTGTGGTTTCAAATTACTTAGATTAAATGTTTATCACCGCATCGTGGAGTTATTCAATTTTTTTTTTTGAATTGAAAGCAGGTGGGCCTACAAGTAATTAAGGTCACAAGTATGTATTTGTAGGACCTCGCTGAGTATAAAGGTGAATAAAATCGAACAGTAAGTTATGCGATGGATGTTGCGTCGGATTGCTTTTCCGCTCAGGCCATCCTGTATAGTGAAGATATTTTATCACTTGAGTTTCGAAGTAACTATACCTTAGGCCCCAAAAAAAAGTCTCCGGTTTCTGGAATGCGCGCGCGTCGCCGTAGCCATACGCGTCGGCAAAATGAAAAAGGGTTTTTTTTTTCAATGAAAGATGATGCCTCAAAACCGCCAAACTCACTGGTTTGACTGGAATCCTGCTGCTGCACAATTTTAACGTGTTTCTAGATTGGGTTATGGTCGAGAATAAGCTTTATGTGGCCTCTCTGGACTCGCATATATTTGCACTAAGTTTAGTCGGGCACCATTGCAGTCATCAGCCGACATTTGAAGCAAAAAAAATCAGGTAAAAAAAAAAGAAAGCCGCGTCGCCGCACCACTTTTTGGGCAAGCTCCATACCAGAAACCGGAGACTTTTTTTTTTGGCCTGATCAACACATGATTATTTCCTTTGTTCCATTTGCTTGATTATAGCACAATCCTGTGTAGCCACACTAGTGGCCTCGGTATTGCTGCGCAGCAATACCGAGGCCACACCAGTGGGGCTGAATCCTGTGAAGAGCGACGAGAAAACGCCCAAAGATAACGCATTACATGTACAAATGTAGTTGGTTTCTGATGCGGGATTTTGCACTCTCTGACAAAAGCTGCCACCCATTTTTACTTCGTCTAGCGCGTTCCATCAGCCCATTGCTGATTTCTTGTTTTGATCGAATAGCAAACCACATCTCGATAGAGAGGCGAGAAAACATCCAGGAATCTTTAAAAAAAAAATCCCGTTTCCAAGAAGCCTCCTAAGCCCATTTCCTGTCAATTAAATTTTTAATGAAACCTCAGGTGTTTAGATCTGTGTTTAATTAGTAGTCTACATAATACATGTAGTAGCCTTGATTTGTATCTGTACGTGGAAGCTATGTTACGTGACATTTGTATCAACAGGCTTAAAGGGAAGATACAACATTTACAAACATAAAAAAAAACGAAATGATCAAATTATCACGAAATATCTTACTGGATTGTTCAGGCATGCAACTTTTCCTCGGATCAGCTGATTTCCTCTTTTTTAACTTCCCATGTGTGCCATTAAAAACAGAAAAACACTGTACAAAGACTTGAAAAGATTTGAATTTCCCCTTTTTTGTGACTTCCCAGTTGCATGCCTGATTGTTAGGGAATGACAGTCCAAAGCATCCTGTAGAGTCGTGGCTCCTGGTTTGCTGAACTTTAAAATAAAAAACCTGTATTTTTCCAACACTGATCGGCCGACCAGCGTTGGAGAAAACTGGCTTTTTTTTCAAAAAGTGCTCATAATAATTTTGTTCATGTTTAGTTATTCCACATTTTCTTTGCAATATTGATGACACACCTGTGAAGAGGAACAAGCCAGCTAGACTGATTCTCTGACCTTGCAATTCCCAAAAAGTCTATAAATTGCTGTCTTTCATCTTAAGCGGGGTCAGGGAACCAGACTACAAGAGCATTGTTGATTTACTTGGATTTTCCAGCATCTCCGAACCCAAACCGTGAAGCAAATCAATTTAACAGCATTTGCTATAACATACTAATTCCACAACTCCATTTATTTCCAAAAATTGCAGCAAAAGCAAATGTTGTACATTCCCTTTAATTGGGAATGGTTTGTCAAGCTCGGTTGGATGAGTTGACACGGTTGGCTGTTGATGAGTAGTCCTCTCCGTAAACCAACGTCTGACATTATGTGAGCAATGCCAATTTGATGCGACCCCGCGCGCCAGCCAATCGGAGTCGACTAATAAGAAATTGTGACGTCATTTCGACCAGAAATGTGGACTTAAGCTGTTGATTGGTAAATTTGGCTTCCATGTTTTTTGTAATACATTGTACACATGGGCGTCGCCCCCCCCCCCCCCCAGCAAAAAAAAAATGCTGTTAATTTAATGTGTTGGGGGATGTCCCTGCCCACGCTCGAAAAATGATAAATCGAGAGTATGCTACACAATAACAGGGATTTCGGGGGGGGGGGAAGTGTTTTGCCCCTCTAGAAAAAATCCCGGCCACGCCCATGATCGTACAACAACGGGTTACCGAAGACCTGATAGAAGGCGCCCGCTGAATGGTCAGAATCTTGAGGTCAAGATGGCGTCTTCTAATTTGCTTAGGAGGTGAATTACAAACCTTAACTCCTGGATCCCCTGAAAGCAGGGATGTAGTCAAGTCCATCACAAGTCCCTGCGAGTCCATCACAAGTCCTCTAGTCCTAATTCAACTCACAAGCTATTCAAATGAGCTTTGACAAAGGCATTACATTGTATATTGTTTGTTTAGCCTAATTGTCTCTGTACTTGTGAATGGACTTGTGATTTCCTTGTGACTAGGCTTATGATGAGATCGACTACTACATTCCGGCCTGAAAGATTGAACAGATTTCTGACCGATAATTGGGTTTTTATTAGCCTTGTTGCAATGCTGTTCTACTACACTGTATACTCAAAGCTAATGGACCCTTCCATCTTGCCTGTCAATCAAGCAGTGCGCATCGACCAATTAGATCACGCATTTTGGTCAGGTGACCACGAAAGCTCGGCCAAATTTGGTCACAAACACGGTGAAAAATGTACATGTACACAAACCAAAGGTGGGCGGGGCTTATAATGGTCATACTCGGAATAGTCCATTGTACTTCAATCTAACTTTGCCCCTTTTTTGGCGATTTGAACAAAAGCGAGGCCGCACTTGCAAACAGACTTATTCGCCAACCTCGTTCTCAGTCTCTAGTTTAGATCGACCCAAGACAATAATAGTAGGGCAGCTAGTGGGAGCATGGAGGAAAAAATATTCCTCCATGGTGGGAGCGTGCTGGCACAGCTCGACGCCGGCCATGGGACGAAGTTACTCCGCTGGCTTCGCGTCGTTAAGCGTTAGGCCTTTACGTCGATGCCCCTTTTTATGAAGGAACCCACGAATTTAAGTGACCATAGATTCTGTAGTACATCCTCT